TTTATCAAAGGCAAACAATATTATAACTTTTTTCATGGACACTATTGTTTATCATCCATTATTGATTTGTCAATGACTATATTACAATTTCGCACAAGAGATTAATTAGACTAATACCTACCGTCAAGTAGTCCAAGATCCGCATGGGGAGATTTTTGTTTGCATCCCGTCACCAGGAACTACCCCTCCAATTACATCTCTAAAAATTTAAATTAAAAGACAGTGATTTAGCCGACTTGCTCCATCTTGGTACCCTGAGCATCAACATCTCTTATTCCTCTAGTATATATACATATTCACAAAAATTAAAAGAAAGAGTGATTTGCATACACGAAGAGACCAGAGCAAACACACAACTAATGGAAAAAGTGAAATTCATAGAATAAAAAAACAAATCCAGGCACCTTGGATTCTAAGGGTTAATCTAGGCATTAGCATCAAACCCAAAATAGATTTGATTTATTAAAAGTTCAAACACATTGTTTTGGACACCCAAATCAACGATTGAAAATTACACATTAGAATGTACAACGTACACAACCACTTCAGAACAAACCAACGCAATCAACTTCTTCCCATTGTTTTTGTTAACATGATTAATCATCATATTCATTCCCATTGACAAATTCCAACAAATGCATTTTAAGCTAATAAATCTGAATGATTAATCTGAATAAACTCTTGAATTCAACCCAGGACATCGAATTCTAACAATCCAATTACATGGCTTTATAATTCACAAACCATTCCGATGTTTACACCAGCGCCGCTCTTTGAACGGCATAAGAATCAAAGCCATTGCCGACCAGCGATGGCGGCTCTGATTCATCATACGTCCGACTGGAAATTAATTTTCGGCATGGTATCTGAGAAAACTGATGACAATTCAATGTAATCCCTATCCGATCCGGAATCGGAGAAATCCAACAAAAAGATCAAAACATGGTCTTGATGCTTTCTTTCTCCTAAATTAAGCGACTCAACATCTCAGAATGTTGTTTTTGGGATTTCTCATTCTCTCCATTGTCTTGATCATCTTTTTGTTCTTCCCCTGCTTTCTATTCATCACTTTAGATTTATACAGTTTACATAAAGAGATATAAACAAATGAACAATAAGAGGGAGAGAGGGGAAGAGGAGGCTAAACTTACAGGGGATGGGCGGGTGTCAGGCGGGCCAAAAAATATGATGATCAGACATTAACGTGAAATGAAACCAATCAAACTTTTAACATAAAACAATATACGTCAATTTAGCTATTGATGGTTGTTCTTCAACGCCAATAGAATTCTAGGGTATAAAGATAATAGAGAATAATGCATCCGATTTGGGAGAGAGAAATAGGTGGAAACAGCCAAAAGAAACAAATCACATGTATTAGGGTTTAATATATCTTCTTCTGCCGTTTGTGATAACCATAATTCAAATTCGAGCCTTTCTTGAATGGAAATTATCTTCATTTAAACTTGTTATTAATTAAATTAATGATAAAGCGTATCAAAAGGATCAATGATGGAGATATGTGAAGTTAGTTCCCTTTTCAAAATAAAATTTTGAATTAACAACCGATCTTATCCATCCAATCTATAACCGATGATTCAGCTTGATAAAAATCTATCATTATACAGAATTATTATTTACATAAAAGACGGAAAATCTCCGGCATCCCTAATTAGAGATCAGTTACACCAAAAGCCGCCGACAAACTAATCCTTTTGGGGGCAACGTCGCTGAGGAGACTTCATGAATTCAGGCACGGAAAGCCGTCGGCAAACTAATTCTTTTTGAGGCAACAAGTCGAGGAGACATCATGATTTCAGGGGGAAAAAAGAATACCGTCAGAGATGATTATTCGTTTGTGGATATAAGTGGTGTATATCCAATGATGATTTCGACGGCAACTATTACGAGCGATTACATTAAATTCAGGTAATATATTATGCCATCACCGGAGATTAAATCGCCGGAGTTATTTCACCGACGGCAACTATTACTGATGAATTCGCTGTAGATCAAATCGCCGGAGTTATTTCTCTGGTTATTTGGTTGAGTTAAATCTATAATAGTCGGTGAAAAGGTAAAACCAATAATATTTTAAAAATTATCATAAATATTTTACTATTAGGAAATTACAGTTATGAGATGTAGTACAACATTAGTAAAAATTAATAAGCCAATAAAATGTTGACACATGGACGAAAACTGGACACGTGTTTTTTGAAACTATTGATGATTTAATAGTGCGACATGTGTCTTGTGAGCAAAATTCCCCTAATATATAGTAAGATTTTAATAAATGGAATCACTTGTGAAGTATTTATTACAAGGCAAAAGATCTCTTACATCATAATCCTACACCACTTCTTACAATATTTACCAAATGACCCCGGAATTTATCCAAGAGTGGTTAGGGTGGTAGTAAAATTTTTAAAGAAGGAAAGTAGTAATTAAATTAAAAAAAATGTAAAAATATTATATGGTCAATTAAAAGTGTTGTGAAATTGTGGTGTAAAAGATCTTTAACAGAGTTTATTACATAGTAAAAGATCTCCCACACTGCTTTCTACATTAATTACTAATATTTTGACACGTGGTTCAAATGGGTCCATTCAATAGTAGGTTAGTGTGTTGGTAAAATTTTTAAGGAAAGAAAGTAGTGATTAAATAAAAAATTTATAAAAATAATTTATGGTCGGTTAGGAAGTATTGTAGGAAGTGGTGTAAGAGATCTTTAGCCTTATTACAAAATGAACTGGAACGGGATTTTTTTTTTGGAAAATCTAACTAAAAATAAATAGTTTTTAACACAAATATAAAATGTATGATTTTTATGGCTATGTAAAATACATATATGATTTGTTTTGATTACATGCTCAATAATATTTCAATAAACGGGGTCACTGGAGAAAGTTTTGTTACAAGATAAATTAGAATATAATCATTTTGAAAAGTCTAACTAAAACTAAATATTTTTTAACACAAATATAAATTTATGATTTTTATGGTTATATAAGATGTAGAATTAATTACTCCAAAAGTACTAAAAAGATGCCATCTATATTCATTCGAAACTAAAAAGAAAAAACGTTGCACTTTGGTACTAAATAGTGACCTTTTATATTTTTTCGATTCTCCTTTTGTTTTCCGAGGAAAAAGGTGGTGGTCAGCGGCGGTGGACGGTTGAGTTGACCAAGGGTATAATCGGTAAATCAAAAAAATGAGCCACACTCCCCACGCATGTGCGAGTCACGTGGTTGCCGCCCAAAATTAGAAGCGGCAAATTCAAAATTCAAAAAAAGTTGAATTTGCCGCCTTGAGCCGCCGCTTCAACGGACGGCAACAATGAGGCGCGCCACCGTGAATCACCACCGAACCACCGTGAGTCAAAGCCGGGCCACCGCTGATCCCCCGCCGGCCGGTGAATATTCCGGTCATAATCCGGTATCATCGTCGGGATATTCGCCGGCCAAGGACCGGAATATTCTGTTCTAATGCCGGCAACGACAAATTCCCGGCGACTACTAATATTTTATGCCCAATAAATAACGGACCATCAACTATTCGAGACCCAAAAAATATTAAAACATCAACGGGCCATCAACTAATTAAGCCCAACCCATTTAAAATTTTAACCTATTAAATACCAAAAAAAATTAAACTTGACAGAACCTTCTTCTTCTTCCCCAATTTGTATCGGGTCCAACAACAAACCCTAAATTCGATTTTGGCCACCCCGACCGTGATTACGTCCCGCAACAAGCACCAATTCTTCAAAATTGGTGAAAAAAGATGCGAAGATCTCCCTCCCCCGCCCCTTATCCCAAACATTCTGTATGTTTTTGTGGATTGCCGGCTGAGCTCACGTCAGCGAGGACACCAAAAAATACGGGTCAAAAATTTTTTGGTTGCCCAAGGTACCATATTGATGCTTTTTGTGGTTTCTTTGATTGGTTTGATTCTGAGAGGTGTTCCTGTTGTATATCGTTACTGCCTGGTTTTTTTCAAGCCTTGATAAAGAGAAGGAAAGAGATAGCAGAGAAGAATGGTTTTCTTGCTGAAAAAGATGAATTATTGGCTAGGAAGGATGTCCTTCTGATGGAGAAAGATTATATGGTGGTGGAGATGCAACGCCAGTTGGTGGGTGCAAACTGAAAAGTTAAGATTTAACTTCTCTCCTTTTAGCAACCTGGGGGTATGTTTTATTTTGGTCCAAGGGAAACGTTGAAGGTGATTGGTGACTGTGAAAAAATCCTTCATTGATTGAAGAATTGGATGAATGACCTTAATTTTAGTTTTTAGTAGATGATTGTAGTGGAAATCTTTCTAAATTTAGAGGCATTTGAATCTGATAGAGCCAAATATTGGTGTGTTAACGGTATGTGTTTGTAATTTAATGCTTTAAGCATGGTAATGTGTATGTGTTTGTGGTTTTTTAAGACTGTAATAGTATGTGTTTGTGGTTTTTTAAGACTGTAATAGATGTTGTTGCCGGCGCTTCCAATTTTAGGCAATCTGTTTATTTTGTTGCCAGTAATGTGATCAACGTACAATTAGTGTTTATTTTGTAAACTAAACTCGTCAATCTTATTTTGCTATGATTGTCAAGTTATCAATGAAATGTCGGGTTATTGATTAAAATGTTTGGTTTTCACTTATCAAGCAAAAATTCCTACGACAGTAAATTAGACGTGACGTGTTTAGGTAAAGCCGGACATTGTAAGCCGGAATAGCCTTAGTTCTGTTTTTTCCTTTCACAAACTAAAGACATAAATCTCAGTTCCAGAAAAAGAAACAAAATTGATGGTTACCGAACCATCTGCATAAATTTATCTTAAGTTTGTACCAAAATATCATAGTGCCTTCCAAAATACAAAAACCATCAATAGCATACCACACCATCGGACTATGCCTATCTGAAGAAGTCAAAAATATAAATTTAAGAATAACTTCAGCATACAACCATATCGAAACTGAACCAAAGTTATATAATAAAAATTTAATCATCCTTGGTGTGGATCTACACCATGGAATGTCTTTGGTTTCTTACGCAAGAAGGTACTTGCTTCTTCTTCAGTTAATATTTGAATGACATTTTCATATGTACTCCCAGGTCCATTAACGTCCATCTTTTTTGCAAGTGCTAGATTCATAAGCCTTGCACTAGCTCTCCTCGGGGTTGTAGGGGCTGAAGAAGTACAAATTCTTGTGCATTTTTTGGGGGCAGGTGCAGTTACTTTGGGTCTTATAATTCCTGACCTTGGATCTTTCAATGCTGCAGCAAGACTTTCCCACTCTATACACTCTGTCTCTTCTTTGAAGTGTATATCCAAAGCCACCTACAAAAAATATAATACAATATTCCTTGTTACTTTCAAACACAAATAGGAACCAAAATGTAACTTACGGAACCTAATTATCAAATACATTCTATTTGGAGTCAAACCAGAAACTAACCTCATCATCAACTTCTTGACCAGCATTTCCAGTATGTTTTGGTTCAGTCTCATGTACAGAATTCTCATCTACAGTAGAATTTATAGGTGGTTGTAATTCTGGCTGATGAACAGGAACTCCAGTTTCTGAAGGATTCTCAGTTGTAGGTGGTTATGATTCTGGCTAATGAACAGGAGCTCCAGTTTCAAGAGGATTCTAAGTTGCAGCTGGTTGTGATTCTTGCTGATGAATAGGAACTCCAGTTTCAGGAGGATTCTCATTTAGAGGTGCTTGTTCCTCAGTAGCAGCATTTGCAGCATGGGCATTCACATCAACACTAGCATTCAGATCCCTCTGAAACGTAAATAAGGGTAATGTAAAGACATGCAAACTACAAAATCAGAACAATCATTCCTGCATAAACTGGTTATATATACTACCTAACTTGCCTCTAATTCATAGCATTCATTTCTATAATGTCCAAAATAGTTGCAATAATCACATTGGATATCAAGCCTAGGACAATTGTCTTCTCCATGGTCATTGCTTCTGCAGAAGTTGCATCCTTCGTGCATATAACCATCTTCAGGGGATGAATATCCACTAGGTTGAGTTGCAGGAGGTGCACCAGGGGTATTAAAAATCTACAAGAGTTTGCATCGAATAATAGATATTTATACTTTGGCAAAAAAAAAAAAAAACATTTGGAGTAAACAATAATCTAAACTTTACCACACTTAAATTTTCAGGGGCTGTCAAGAATTTTCCAGCCTCAAGTACTGGACAGTCCGTAACAGTGTGGTTCAGTAATTTGCAATAGTCACATTGCAATAAACTTTGGTTAACAGGCACTTCACCACCAATTTTTTATTTTTTTGGGTTTTCTACCCCTCTTCTTGGGTTGTGACTGAGTTGCAGACTGTACCGAATTACTTGTGCCTTCACCTGCATCCTGAGGCTTCTTCTTGGGTGGTCTGCCCATCCTTTTTCGTATAGGTGGATTGGTGTTTTGCACTCCCCTTTCTCCCTGGTACATTGAAATGGTACCAATATCAGTAGTGTATAAAAATTCAAGAAACTCACATGCAACAAAATACCAAGCAGAATGAAACTTCATACCTGATTATTTTCTCTATTTTGTTGTGCCTTAAACCCTGGGCAATTTCTCTTAATATGTTCACCTCTACAAAAACTACATTTGTTTACCCCTTTACCCCTCTTTCTACTTGCCTTCAATGATCCTTTCTTGTTTCTTCTTAATGGCTCATCCTTGTCCTTATTCCTACTCCCTTTTGGCCTGCCGATTTTGATTTTGAATTCAGGGGGCTGCAAAGTAGGACCATCAGATTTTGGCCAAATGCCTTCTCGTACATCTCTCTTGAGTAACACTTATCCACATAGCTTTCAACCTTATCTCTATTCTCTACTATGGCAGCTATGCCATGAGAGCATGGCAATCCATTCTACTGCCATTTCCTACAAGCACATGTCTTCTCCTTAAGGTTTACCACAAACTGATCACAGCTATCAATAGTCCTCACTTCAAACAGCGGATCACCACAATGGATCACTTTACATCTAGCAGCTTCTTCAGCATCATCCTGCAACCTTTTCTTTATCTTTGGACCTAGAATACAATTATTTCGTGCCAGCCACTCCCTTTTCTGTTGTGCCCTTCAAGTTAGGTATACCCGAAGCCACTCAAGCATTCCAATGATGGGATATTCCCTGCCAGGAAATATTGTTCTATTGAAACCCTCACTCACATTGTTAGTAACGCAGTCACACCTAGTTGCCGTAGGGAAATGCGACCTGCACCAATGACCAGCATCCTCATTTTGTAGCCATACCCATGCACCTTCATCAAACTCTTTCAAAGCAGCCATAAGCTCATCATGCTCTTCCACATAACTTGATTTTGCAATTTCAAAAAGTTTCTGTTTCAAGACAAGGCCCGGATGATGCATCTTGAAATTCGACCACAAGTGATGCACACAAAATTTGTGTGAAACTCTATCTCGTTTTGATTTCACAGCTGGTATCAAACCCTGCAAAAAATAATATAATAACAATGCAATCAGGATTTCAAAGTTGGAATTTTGTATACATATTAAAAGATAAAAAACCAAAATTTAATACTGTAAATAAGGGGGAAAAAGGAAAATTTACCTTCTGCCTATCAGACATGATTACCCATTCAGGAGTGTTGGCAATTTGTAGATATTTAATTAAGTAGTTCAAGAACCACTCCCATGAATCCTTACACTCAATCTCTACAATCGCATAAGCAACTGAAAATATGTTGTTGTTTGCATTGAATCCAACAGCTGAGAGTAAAATGCCCCCCACAAATGTTTTCAGGAATGTTCCATCAAGACCAATAATGTTCCTACACCCTTATTTGAAACCTCTCTTGCATGCCTCATAGCACAAATACAACCTCTTAAATGTATTTGGTTTCGCAGGATCAGTCATCAATTCTAACGTCGTCCCAGGATTAGCCTTCTTCATTGCTTTAATGTAACCTTCCAACTGGGCATACTGCTCTTCAATTTTCCCTCTTACCTTCTCCAATGCCTTTAGCTTGGCCCTATATGCTTGAGTCCTAGATATGGTAATTCTCTTCTCATTAACAACCCTAAATTGCACAATGCTCACACTCATTGAAGAGTCATTTGCAAAGTCAGCAACAAACCAATCAGAAACTATGTTGGAGTTGCAATTCTTGTTTTTCTCCCATATCCTACCACAAGTGTGCTTGTTATTCACAGTCCTCACCTCAAATGTGTCTACATCTGGCAACTTCACTCCATAAACTTCCCAGTTGCAGCCAGGTACACAAATTCCCCTCACCTCGAATTTAGCATTCTTCTGAAACCTAATAGCCCTTCTATCAACAAGAGCATGCATTCTGATGGCCTTCAAAAGTATCCACTTAGTCCCAAATCTTTGGTTAATATCAAATGTTGGGTTGACCATCTTTTTCGCTGGATTAAACTCTCTATATTTTTTTCACTTCTTTCATGAAAGTCCTCATCATCCAAACAACCCCTTTCATGAAGTTCTTCAAAGGAAGCATAGTCAGATTCAGAGGCCACATCATCACCACCATCATGGTTTGCATGGCGCACAAATTCAGTTTTCTTCAAAGTTCCCCAACAAGAACCACTCATCGAGTGATTGGCTAACTTCTGAACCCTTTCATCATCAGAATCACAACTGTAATCACTTTCAGGTTCATAGTCTTCATCATCAGTATCATCATCACCTTCATCTAAATACGCAGGCTTTCTCGGTTTAGGTTTAGCCCCTCCAGGTAATTGATCATACTCAAGTTTCCCTATCCTATAGATGACCATAGGAGACTTCATTTCACCAGACAATAAAGCAAGCATATATTTGAGGTCTTCATTAGTGTTTAATCTCCTAAAACCAGAATATTCAGCTACAATAGGGTCTCTAAAAAACAGCTTTGTTGCCCTCTGTCAACATGAGAAAACAACCAATTTTTTAGCTTTTGTTTGTCTACTAAATTTTTCAACAATGGATGACAATCACATTACCTGTACTTCTACACATTCATGTAAGAGGTGTCCAGTACAACTGCAAAATGAACATTTCATGCTTAACCAAGTACACTCCTCCCACTCTCCATGTTTAAACTCCCCATAACAGTGTTCACAATTCCATCCAGATGCCGAACACTGATCCCAAAAACTGCAAGTTTGTTCGAAATCGGGTGGAACTAAGTTGATTGTCTCTACCGCTGGTTCATCAGGTGCATTAATGACCTGCAATGATTCCTCATTCTGATCTTTCCTTTCATCCATATCTGAATTCTCCGAGCAGTCTGCACATGGTTCAAGAGCAATGTCTGCTGCATCATCATGCTCTTCGTTAGAAGTTCTATTTTCTAACCAACGTGTCAACTGTTCTTCAAGGCATTGGCCTCTCCAATGACTGGTATTTTCACAAAATTCACAATATTCTCCGATGACTGCTCCATCCACCATAGGAGTCACTGGAACATCTTCAATATATATTCATCAAGAATCTTAAATTTTCCTTTCCGACTAGTTTAGGAAAATCTTCATCATCATCTTCAACAAGAATTTGTATTTCTTTCCGCTTAGTTCTGGACCCCGGGATACCAGGATCATTTTCAGCTTCATCAAAAAGCTGATGTTCTCCTTTCCGTTTAGTTCTGGACACCGGGATACCAAGATCATTTTCATCTTCATCACGAAGCTGAAATTTACCTTTTCCCTTCTAGATAGCAGGACCACGGGATCCTTTTCATATCCATCAATAACCTGCTTTTTTCCTTTCCGGTTACTTCTGGACACCAGGACCACGGGATCATTTTCATCTCCATCAAGAACCTGCTTTTTACCTTTCCCCTTACTTCTGGACACCAGGACCAAGGGATCATTTTCATCTCCATCAAGAACATGTTTTCCTTTTCGCTTACTTCTGGACACCGGGAACACAGGATCCTTTTCATCTCCATCAAGAACCTGTTTTTTTCCTTTTCGCTTACTTCTAGACACCGGGAATACGGGATCATTTTCATCTCCATCAAGAATCTGCTTTTTTCCTTTACACTTAGTACTGGCCACCGGGACAGGGGATTCAAACTCATTTTCGTCTTCATCGCGAAGCTGGTAATTTCCTTTACGTTTATTATTCCGCTTCTACTTAGCACCTTTTTGAATTTGTTGCTGACCCTTACCTAGTGCCATAATGATGGGGACAAGACATCACGGTTTTGATTAAAAGTATAGAACAATAACAACAAAGTCAGCAAACAAGAATGTGAAAAATGATATTCTTTCTATGCAATGACAATAAACTTTAGGTTTATACATAACAATCCGAGTATTAACTCCGTAGAGTACCATTTTGCCAGGAGCTTAACATATACGAAAGGTTATTTTGTCTTGCTTTTCTGGTTCCTTCTTCTTTCCCAATCTCATTTTTAGTGCTGGACAAGACTTTGGTTTGTGCTCCTTGCGTTTGCAGTATTGACATTGACTGTTCGGGAGTGCTTTCCTGCCTCTTCCCTTTTGCTTACTCGTCTATCAATTATAAAGCCATTCAAACCAACACAATCGAAAACTCATAACCTTTTAAGAACATATACAAGTACAAACGCTTACATCATCAGCCAAAGGTTCAACTGCAACCCGTTTGCGCGGTCTGCCCCGCTGTTTGGGTGTTGCTCGCTTCTGCCCACCTAAGGGCCTCTCACTCTCCTTGCTATCATTCTGCGTAACAATTCCAAAATTTCAATTATTATCGCAAATAATGGTACATAAATACACAACACAGTAAAAAAATTACATTTCCACATGATAATTACATGTTTCAAATTTAGGCAGCTTTTCCTAGTATGCCCCATAATTACAATAACCGCACTTACTGTGTCCCGGGCCCACCTTTCTATTTCCCTTATACCAACCTTTTTTGTTCTTGTATACTCGGTGGAGTTCATCATGTCTCTTGTTTCTGCTGCCCTTCACTCTTCCTGGCATGGGTTTGAACTCTGGAGGCAACATGGGTGTGTCTGATATTCGCTTCCAAAAGTTAGGACCATTCATCCCCCGGATACTATATGCATATGCTCTCAGGTATATCTCCTTTGAGTACCATCTGCCAACATAATCTTTCACTTTTCTCCCATCATCAAGAATGCACCTCATTGCATGTGGGTATGGAATACCAGACATATCCCACTTCCGGCAAGTACAACTCAGCTCTCCCTTTCTAAGGCACACAACAAACTGTTCATTTGGCCCCTTGACCTCATACTAACCATCACCACAATACTCTGCAACGTAACAACCAGATTCTTTCCGGGATTCCGCTAAACGTTCCCTAATTTTGTCGTCAAATTCAAATGGTATCTTTTCAATCAGCTTCCTAGTTCGGTGGTATTTAACCATCAAATATCGCCTAATCCACTCCAACAACCCAAGGATTTGTAGTTTACGGGCTTTTACCAAAATATTGTTGAAGCCTTTACATATGTTGTTCACCAACATGTCACACTTTGTCTCAGTCAAGAAATGTGACCTGCACCAGTGACTTGCTCCTATTTCATGAAGATACCTCCATGCTCCTTCATGATGCTTCTTCAAATCATCCATCAGCTTGTTCCATTCCTCTTCAGTTGTTGCTTTCGCAATATTCGTCAATCTGGCTTTTAATTTCAATCCGGGGTGCTTAAGCTTAAAATTATTCCATAAGTGCTCCATACAGTATCTATGGGACACATTTTTAGAAGTGTAGCAACAGCTGGAAAAAGACCCTGAAAAAATAATTCATGTCAAATTACTTAACATCCACACCAAATTTCAGTATCATGAATACAAATACTTTACACTCATTTACATTCTCAATGGATATGCCTGCTATTAAACACAAATTTAAAATTTACTCTTGTACCTTTTGCCGGTCTGACATGATGACCCATTCAGGCATATCAGTTATTCCCAAGTCATCAATGAGGTATTCCAAAAATCACTTCCACGAATCTTCCTTCTCTATCTCAACAACAACAAATGCTACAGGATATATCTGGTTCTTAGCATCGTATCCCACAGCCGTAAGGAGCTGACCCCCAGTTGGAGTCTTCAAGAAGGTCCCATCTACACTAATTAGTTTCCTACATCCTTCTTTGAAACCTTTTTTAGAGGCTGCTGAACACATGTACATTCTCTGGAACCTACGGGGATCGTTTTCCTTAGTCATAAGCTTAATAGTGCTACTGGGTTTATCTTTTCCACTTCGGTCAAATACGATTCCAAATATGCATAATTCTCCATAATAATACCTCTGTTTATGTCAAGTGCCTTCTTCTTAGCCCTAGAGGCCTGGTTTCTTGAAATCTTCAATCCATGGTCCTTCTTAACCCTATGTTTAATGAAGCGAGAACTGAGGGTAGGCTCAACTGCCACATCTTCAAGGTACGACTCGGCAATCAAATGGGCAGTACAATTCCATGTTTTATCTAGTCTTGGACAAGTGTGTTTGTCTTGGTGAGTTCTAATCTGAAATGTCTCTTCATTTGGACTCACCTTAACTGCATACAGTACCCAGTTGCATCCCTCCCCTTTGCAAATTGCCCTAACATACTTGGAGTCATGCTTTTTGAAGCTTATATGTCGCCTATCAGCAACTGAATGGAGCTTGATATATTTAAGAAGTTGCCACTTATCCTCAAAGTCCTGCCATACCTCAAACCCTGGATATCTCATATCATCCGCAGCTACATACCTTATTCCCTTCTTTAAATTCTTTCCACCTCTACTTGGATCCTGTGCAAATGATTCCTTTGATACATTTCTGGACCTTAACGATTCAAATGAGCCACAATCAGCCTCATGGTCATAGCCTTTGACCTCATCCAATTTTGGGTCATTTCCAAACAAACACCACGATTGAACACGGACCGTTGCATAAGCTTTTTCCCGGTACTCAAGATCTATGTCGCCCGTGTCATGATCGCTGTCTTCGACACGATCTCAATCGACATAATCATAATCCACTTCAGCCCCATTTTTTCCAACTCCACTATAATCAGATTCAAAATCACCAGAATCAGACTCAGAAGCAGAATCACCATCACAATTACCTAAATATTCACTAGCATCATTGCCATGATCCAGATTCCCAATATCATACTCATCATGTCTACTATCATCAGCAAAATCACCATGTTCCTTGATGCACTTTGAACACTGCCCAATTAAAGGATCATGATCTCCTGGGCCAATCCTGTATACATCTATCCCCCGTAGTCTCTGAATAGTACTGTCCCCCGACATTTCCTTAACATCCTCATATCCAAGTAAATGCTTATATCCAGAATGTTCAACCCTATTTCTATCCTTATAAAACAATCTGTGGGGCCCGTTGCTACAAACCCTATCAATATATGACCTCAGAAGCTCCACGGTAATATTGGGTTCATCTATGAAGTCAAAGTAATAAACTCTGCCACCAACATACTTCAGCTCTGAAGTCATCTGAAAACTTCCCCCATGGTGGATTTTGGCAGCTATTTGCTTCGCCTCATCACCTATTAATCGACATTACTACATTTAATTCATCGAAATCCAATACACACAGTAACTATAAATTACGTGTACAGCCTTTCATAATGCAACTAAATCAAATAACATAACAATGTGTAAAAAATACATATCTATGCATCAATCTACTAAAAGAAGCAAAAATCATTAACTGGTTCGAAGCATATCAATCGAAAAAAAAAACTTACGGTATAGTGGGATATCTGGGGCTTCGGGGTTCATATCGCATACCCTTTTAAGATTAAGATTCACACCCCGCAAGAAACCTGGCATTATTGAGTCTGAATTGATTCATGAACTGAAAGAGTTGACGGAACTCAAGTTTCTGCTGGCAACCCTCGTTTGTCGATACGGTCGAAGTTCTCCTCTCTCCTCTTTGAAAAGACAAGTTTCAACCGAGTTGAACCAAGTCAACTACTACATGTGTTTTAATATACTCGTTTGTCTACGTGCAACATCCCTCACTGTTCGTTCCCAAAAAAATGGAGATGGACAATAATAAAAAAAAGATGATTTCACCCCTCCACGTGCGTACTACTTCCATTACGATTTCTTCTGACACAAAGACGGAAAGTACAAAAAAAACACTCTTGTTATTATTTGGGGTACACTGGTTACGTTGTTAAAAAATGGGGTACAACTGGGATGGGTCAAATATCAATGGGATTTTACGTGAAATGAAGCCAAAATTTTGGGCTTTAATAGCAAACTGAAGCATTATATGATCAACTAATATAGAGTTCGAGAAAAATAAAAAGCATTTTGAGAAAGTTATTGTTTTCTCATCCTTCGAGATTGAGTCAGCTTCCACTTAGTCTGTGCTCTTGTAAAAGTTCTCATCCGCCATATAATATGATTCCAATAGACCAATAGTGATCATTACCTTAGCTTAATTAAGTTCATTCAAGTATCATGAAGCTCTAATCTAACCGTTTCAAAAGATCGGTTATGCATGTATGTAGTCCCTGTAGGGTTTATTACATTTTGTCGTATGAGGTTTACAATAATAATAATTTTTTTTTACATCGTTTAGTAATATACAACGGATATTTTTTAGAGAGACAATTTAATTTACGGTTATGTTCATGTGTTCAGTAATAATTAATAAAAATGCCCACTCTAATGTAGCATTCTTTTTTTTTTTTTTGCCTCAACATTTTTTTTTATATATATTTACAGGGTGTCCACCGTCGGTAACAGTGATTAATCCCCATCGCTGAATTGTAAGTTTTTTTTTTATATATTTGCAGGGTGTCCACCGTCGGTAACAATGATTAATCCCCATCGCTGAATTGTAAGTACCTCGATAGGACAGTTATCCAAAGTATTTAAGGTTGCTCTACACCCATGGCGAGATTCGAACCCTCGACCTATGGTTAAGGGTGGACAAGTTCCTTCCACTTTACCATAACCACTTTGGTTTAGTGTAGCATTCTTTGTTTCCATGCTATAACACAAAAATTCATAACCACTTTACTAGAGATAGTTATTGATTGGAACTTGGATGTATTTAATTTATTTTCCCTCAAATATTTGTCTTCGTCCAAAATGTTACTAAGTGCCAAAAAGCATATCTGGGGACTGTTTCACAGCCACCACAATCATGAAGGAATATCCCTCCCACCAACATTGTGCAACGCCGCTGCCTCTGTTCTTTATAGCCGCATTCTCACCAAAATTTCCCCATCAAATGACACAGATTGACAGCCCCAAACAAACATATCAGAAAAGAAAGCTCAAACGAAAAATCAAAAGCAAGACAAACAGTGTTCGCTATTGTTGATGATGGACACTTCTTCGTCCTGAAATTATTGTCCAGTTTGAATTTTTATAAATAGTTTAAATTTTTCTAAAAATGAAATTTTAAACTGAACGATAATTTTAGAGTATCATACAATATAGTATACAAATGGCATAAAAAAAAAAATTTAAAATGAAGAAAGTCTACCAACCTCATGCTCATGTAAAGACAAATTTTGTAAGGAATTACCTAATAAATTTACAGCAACAAAACCTTGAAGTTAACCTTTTTTTTTTTATCAACCTTGAAGTTAACCTGAATGATATTACTTCTTCCATTCCGAAGCAATTGTCAAATTCAGATTTTGAGTTTTAGTATGAATCAAAAATGAAAATTTAAACTGGACAAACATTTTAGGACAAAAGGAGTACTAAATTTGCATATTTCACAAATATATACTCCCTCTGTCCTAAAATTATTGTCTGAATTTAGATTGTCATTTGTAATTTAATTTGTACTAAAACTGAAAATCTAAATTAGACAATAATTTCAGGACATATGAAAATCTAAATTACACAATAATTTCGGGACATATGAAGTACTAGTTAAACTTCTTTTATTGTTCAATCAAAGAAATGAAAAAGGAAATTTTCCAACACGAGCCTCACGAGAGAAAACCACTGTTGTAAAAACACCAAACGAGAAAATTGTGTAAAACAAACTGAAATTTGGTGTACAAAAACAAAAATAAATTTCACAACGAATAAAATAATTGTCAAACAGCCACCGTTGAAATTGATACTATTAAAAAAGCGACAAATCTTTTCCTTATTTTGTATAATATTCATGTAAAAAAAAAGATCTTTTCGTTATTTGTACAACTACAACTACTTGTCATTTCATTTTTCGTTCTCCAGTTCAGCAGCCCTTCAATGGCCTGAGAAGACCTGAATCAAACAAAAACAACAGTACATAGTTTTCATCGCTTTTAAAAACCTTTGATCATCAGAATCAACAATGGCGTCATCGCTCTCAGGCATCTGTTTCAAACCACAGATACGCACTCAAAACCCAACTCTCCAAAACCCATCTTCAACCCAGAAATCCAATCTTTCTTTTCAGAGCAAGCCCGCCACCAGATTCTCCGTCCAGGCGGTGGCACGTGAAGTTCACTCGTCAGTCTCCGATTCCACAAACGACGTTGTCCCCGCCACCAAGTCGATTTCTTCTTTATCCGCAAAATCGGCAATTTCTCTGCAGAAAGACCCGAAGGAGCTATGGAAGAGGTATGTGGATTGGTTGTACCAGCACAAGGAATTGGGATTGTACTTGGATGTGAGTCGGGTCGGGTTCACCGATGAGTTCTTCCAAGAAATGGAGCCCAGGTTCCAGAAAGCCTTCAAGGCGATGGAGGAGCTTGAGAAAGGGGCAATTGCCAACCCGGATGAAGGCAGAATGGTGGGTCATTATTGGTTGAGGAGCCCTAACCTTGCACCCAAAAGTTTCCTAACTATGCAGATCGAAAATACACTTGAAGCAGTTTGCAAGTTTGCGAATGATGTCATCAGTGGTAAGGTCAGTTCAGTTGTAGTTTTTTTGCAGGATCAGTGTCTTTTGTTCTTAGTTGGTTTTGGGCATGAAATTGATCGCCGGATTTTATTTTGGGAAATGATGAGTTGATTCTAAAGTTCTGGTCAATGCCTTTGTTAGTTTTGCTTGAATTGATCACTAGTATTTTTAATCAGTCAAAGTAGGGACTTGATTAGTTGACTGGCAACTTATGAGCTGAAGTGTTCCAGAAGTTCCTGTAATATGAAATCCCTCTTCTTTTTTCTTTTTCTTTTTTTTTTTTGTGACTGTATAATGTGATTCATATGTCTCTTTTAAAGCTATTGGAGTGTTGTCAGAGTTTAGCGTTTTTGCATTTTGACTCTCCGAGTCCATTTTATGTTTGTGAATCAGACTGTTCATGGAAAGCATTGCCAAACTGTCCATTTTTTTGTATACCAGGACTAGGCGGTTAAACTTGTGTCGCCTGATAGATAATAGAAGTTTGAGCTCAGTAATGAGCCATTCAGCATTTTAGCTAATTAAATGTACATTTGGCTGAATTTTTCCTTTTACTGCAATGGCTCCTTTTGATAAAATCATGCCTTCTGTGTACAAGTTGTGGATGCACCGTCAACAATCTAGCCTGAATTTTTACCTTGCTCCTTAAAGTTGAGTTGGTAGATATAGCAGTTCTTCTGTTGTTAATCTTCTGAAGTTTTAAACTGCAGGTAAAGCCACCAGCCCCTCATGAAAGATTTACTCAGATACTTTCTGTTGGAATTGGTGGTTCGGCTCTTGGTCCGCAGTTTGTTGCTGAGGCATTAGCACCTGATAATCCTCCTCTCAAGGTACTTAGATCACTATGTTCGTTACGCATGACAGTAGGTTCCCCATTTTCTAAGTTCATTACATTTCACAGTAGCTTCCCCATTTTCTAAGTCGTATCCTTCTTACTTCATTAGTATATGATTCTAAATGTGTGTTCCCCTTGATGGTCCAATATAATACTTCGAGTTGACTTCAGATTATGTTCTTTGGTCCTGTTACTATGCCAAACGGAATTTCCTAGGGAGTTTGCTATCATCATTTGGCTATGTCCTTTTACATGGATACCATAAATGTTAAGAAAGTGGGTTTTTCGAATGTGCATGTTTAGTTTTCTTCAAAAGACATAGTACCAATAATGCTAACTCTACATTCTAAAATCTATTATTGGCATTGTAGTGACATTTACCTGTGGTGACATTTATTATTTGAAATACATTAATAGCCTCTGAATTACAAAATTACTTCTTTTCTTTTCATTAGTTTTCTTCTTATTGGGGACTGAGTTGTTCCATTCTGTAGAATAGTTCTTCAGCTGTTATTCTAGCACTTCAGATCGTAAAGGTCTTTTGCTTAATTTATCTCCTGTGACTTCATTTGCTGCGATCTTGTAAAGACAAAACTTAATGATTCTAAACAACTCTGCTATTATGGTACCCTATTTTCAGATAAGATTTATAGACAACACCGACCCAGCTGGAATTGATCACCAAATAGCACAGCTTGGCCCTGAGCTCGCATCCACACTTGTTATTGTCATTTCAAAGGTACTCATTGGATTCATTATTGTTCTTGTGCATTAGTTTTATGGTTTATTATTATCTAAACTTCTTAAATGTGGTGCTTGTTTCTCTTTCAGAGTGGTGGTACACCAGAAACTAGAAATGGATTGTTGGAGGTACAGAAGGCCTTCCGTGAAGCTGGTTTGGAGTTTGCAAAACAGGTCTTGATCTCAGGTTCTTGTTTTCTGCTTCTAGTTATTTCATGCCATGGGTGCTTTATCAAAAAAAAAAAAAAATGCTAGAAATTTAGAAAAGGTGATATACAGAAGCTAAAATTTATGAAGTTGTGTTATGTGGTTGAGTTAATGATTTTTCTTATGAATTCGAGCTCGTTTTCCTGTTTAGGTTGTCTATTTACTTCGGGAATGCTGAAATTTATAGCGATTTAGTAAGCTGCTGTTTTGCCATTTGTTAGAAGATAAGGTTGACTTGTTTGTTATGCCACTAAAGAACTTGAGTAGTACTGCTATAGTATTGCTTTGTTAAGTTACTTCAACATGAATATCGTACTAATCTCGCATTGCTAAGTTGAAATATCTGGACTCTTAGGAAGTAATTGAGACTAAAGAACTGCTTTAGTTGAAGTTTTATTGAAGGTGCCTGCTTTTAAATTTGTGGTGAAATATGTATCTGCAAGCTTCATTAGAGTTCTACAATTTTTTACGTTGTCACAATTGGTTTTTTTTTCAGGGTGTTGCCATTACTCAAGAGAATTCCTTGCTTGACAACACGGCAAGAATTGAGGGTTGGTTGGCTAGGTTTCCCATGTTTGACTGGGTTGGTGGACGAACTTCTGAAATGTCTGCTGTTGGGTTGCTTCCAGCTGCTCTACAGGTATTTACTTTTCTTTCTCTGTTCTTTTCTGAATGTCTCACAATATGAATTGGTGCTTTGACAAGCTATTAAGCACTCTTGTTATGAATCCAGGGAATTGACATTAAGGAAATGCTTGCTGGTGCTGCATTGATGGATGAAGCAAACAGGACAACCGTTGTAAGATTTTGTTTTGTAACATACAGTTGAATAAGTTACATGTATAGTTGTATCACCTTATCTTTGTTTGAGAAAGAAATTCATCACTTCCAAGATTATTCTGGAACGACGTGCCAATTTTATCAATCTGGGAGTAATGTGCAAAACATGTGTGGTAGGTCAAGAATAACCCAGCTGCATTGCTAGCGCTTTGTTGGTACTGGGCCACTGATGGTGTAGGATCAAAGGTTTGACTGCCTTCATCTTTATAAGTTAGCATTACTCTGGTCGTCTTCCCTCATTAATTTGGTTGATATCTTTGATATATGCTTGCAGGACATGGTTGTCCTTCCTTACAAGGACAGTCTATTACTGTTCAGTAGATATCTGCAGCAGCTGGTCATGGAATCTCTTGGGAAAGAGTTTGACTTGGATGGAAATCGAGTATGTGTAACATTGTTTAATATTTCTGGCAGAAAGGCATTTGAAAACAAAAAAATTTACATTAATCTTGATTTTCTTTTATTTTCCACAAAGTATGCCCTTCTTATTGATTGGGCCCATCTGCAAATGATTTTAAGTCCTATGATATTTCTTCCTAATGTCGGTTTTTGATCCTTTGTGTGCGTAGGTGAATCAAGGGATCAGTGTGTATGGAAATAAAGGGAGCACAGATCAGCATGCGTAGGTTTCTTTCACTTTTTGGATATCTATGATTGAGTTTTATTTGTATCTCAGCTTTGTCATGATGCGTTCTGGAATTTCTCTTGCAGCTACATTCAGCAGCTCAGGGAAGGTGTACATAATTTCTTTGTTACATTCATCGAAGTTTTACGTGATAGACCACCTGGTCATGATTGGGAGCTCGAACCAGGTGTTACATGTGGTGACTACCTGTTTGGAATGTTACAGGTTGGTACTCCCAATATGCCTTGTGCTGTTAAGACATGGGGTTAATCACATTCATTTTCTTGGTTACTATTTTCTATATTTGGAAGTAAATAGTGAAGTAGGCTTTAGAAATCTTGAATGTGTGTGTCTTGAAATGTTGACATTTGGGTGACTCGTGTTCTAATATTCTATACTTCTATTTGAAATGCAGGGAACAAGGTCTGCTTTGTATGCAAATGGTAGAGAATCCATTACTGTTACTGTGCAAGAAGTAACACCTAGATCTGTGGGGGCGCTAGTTGCACTCTACGAAAGAGCAGTTGGAATATATGCCTCACTTGTTAACATCAATGCTTATCATCAGCCTGGTAATGTAATCTGCTTTTGATTAGAGAGTGGATTGATTGTCAAATTGTGAAAATCTATTAATAGCACGTTTCATGTTCCACTTCTTTTATATTGCTTTTCCTTGTGTTTCTTACCCTTTTTATTTACTGCTCTAGGTGTGGAAGCTGGAAAAAAAGCGGCAGGAGAAGTCCTAGCTCTTCAGAAACGTGTTCTCGCTGTTCTTAATGAAGCAAGGTAACAGTTAACTAGACCTTTCGAAACCATATTGGCAATGCCAGGAACACATATTGAAGATCGTTTTGGGCTGACTTTTGGAAGAACCCCAACTATGGTTCTGTACTGTTGCCATCTTATATAGTGTCATGAGTTCTTTGGTTTTGCGTGAATGTATTTATCAACCTCTGGGTTGTCTTCTGACCATTGATCTGCTACAAGCCTTGCGGCCAGATTTTAGGATTCAACATTCTTGCTCCTGATTGAACACTTCTGATTGCGAACTGCTTTATTGATATGTTGAAATATTTGATGAAAGGGTGTGTTCTTTACCCTTTTTTATTTTCCCATTTCGCATGCTGTGGGATGTTATGGTCAACGGTTACCAGTTGCTATGCTAGGAAAGTAGGTCCATCTCTCTCCCCATTGTCTTAGAGGTGCATCAGAATCAGATGGTGTCTGAATGAAGTAGCTTCTTGTGGCAAAAAAACATGTGCTTTGTTTCTTAGATTTGTTGGAGAATTTTGTTTTTTCTTTCTGCCTTATGGAGAAAATTTGTTGCGGAACTTGTGAATTTTGCTTCCCTGGATTCCCCAAGGCACTGACCTTGATGTATATCTGATTTTTCAGCTGTAAGGACCCTGTTGAGCCTTTAACGATTGAAGAAGTTGCCGAACGTTGCCATGCACCAGAAGATGTATTTTCAACTCCTTCAGACTCTACTTTCTGTTGAAACTGGATATGTTGTGGGCTTATTTCTGCATGTCAATGGTAGTTAACTGGTGCTCATTCTTGTGTGCAGATTGAAATGATCTATAAGATCATCGCGCATATGGCAGCTAATGACAGAGCCCTGATCGCCGAAGGGTCGTGTGGTTCACCTCGGAGCCTTAAAGTTTTCCTCGGGGAGTGTAATGTTGACGAGTTGTACGCATGAAGACAGATAAACAAACACCTCATACCTTCTTCTTACAACCATTTTTTTTTTCTTCACGACTGTTGATTGCTGAGGGATAGTTAACTGGCTTTGTCGAGAAATAAGAATCTCGCTTCCTGTGTAAAACCATGACAGATAGCTTGATGTTGGCCGATTGACGGCGATATTCATACTTGCCAAATAATCTGCAACATTTACAATAAACCCTAGGAAATTCCGAATTCGGTTTACTCTTTCACTCTTTGCTTGCTTCTCTTTCTTTCCTTTCATTTTTCGTTGCCTTTTTCTAATGATTGTTCATTTACGTTTGAAGAAAATGACAGACCAAAAATGTTGTTGGTCGACTTGGATGGCACGTTATGATGTCAAGTTCGCTAGTTTTTGCTTTTAATCATCATCATACATCCACTTTCAAATTTCTTGTCCCTCTGATAATGATATTTCCTGGCTAAAACTAACAATTTTTTTATAAAAATGTAACGAAGTTGACTGTGATAAGAATCGAACATCAACATACATTAATTCAGAGTTATTGTTGAACTTGAACTGTTCAATCTTAACAGAAATTATGGGAAAAAAAAAAACAAAACAAAACCCTGAATATTTTCAATATCTCGCTACTTGAGAGGAAGTTCATTGAGATCAAGCTGTCCGAGTAATAAACATTAAACATTTAAACACAATTAGCGGTGCAATTTAATGGCAAAAGATTTTGTATAACACCGTTGTGATATTACATTAATTAAATAAATGAGGTGCGTTTAAATTGATCTAATTTTATCCAATGATGAAAGAAACTGATAAGTATGTATACAAGTAATAATGAATTAAATTTTATCTAGCAGTACAAGATTTGTGTAATCCAACTGTAAAAATTATCCTGAAAAAGAAAAAAAACCAGACCAAAAAGCCAAGAAGAAGAAGAAGAAGAAGTGAAACAGAAACATATTTGAAATCGAAAAGCCAAATACAAACAAAAGGCGCGGTTGGGGGGTTGTGCGGGGGGCCCACAGCCCCATGTGGTGATCATAAGACAGAGAAAGACTTCGGCCGTAAGCAAAAAAACGATTTCAAGTAGTAAAAGTGTTCCCACTCCCAACGTTCGACTCCTCTTTTATCTGTTTCAATTTCAATTCTAAACCTCTTAATTACTTTAATTTACATTTAAACCACCATAATCATGGACCCACCACCATGCCACGTCCGCCCACCTAACGTCATTACGTGCTCTTAATTCTCGGGAGAATATTTTAAGAATATAATCCACTTCCACTTCCCCCATATAGTCAACAAAAACATCTTTAATTTTCTCAAATTCCCCACCAAACGACATCGTACATACCGAAATATTACATTTTTGTCCTCACAAAGGAAACTACAAAAAGAAAAAAGAATTTTTTTTTAAAAAAAAATTTGTTGCAGACTGACAGTGTGCTTTTTGTGAGCTAATAATCCTTCTTCTGGAGCTGAGCAGAGGAAGGTTTTGCGTTTTCCAGAGAGAAAAAAAAGGGCATTTCCGGAACTCACATTCTGCTCCTCATCTTTCAAAACTCTAGACAAAGTTGAAAATCTCTGTTTGTGCTAAAAACGTTGTTTTGTTTCAAGTTGATTACTTCTGTGGAAGTGGATCAGATTTGAGTGCATTTTTTTTTTTTATTAAATCTTGTTGTGATATTCTGAGGCTTATGGTGTGAATGTAAGTTTGAAAGAAGTTTCTTCCGAAATATTTTTGTCTTTGTTTTTGATGTTTTTAAGGATACATTGTGATTATATATTTTGTTTTTATTTTTAATTTTTGGTTTTCGGTTGTTGTTGGACGCAGGTGAAGAAGAAGAAGAAGAAGAAGGATCAAAATGTTTACCGAAGGACTTGATAACAATGCCCTTAAGTGGGTAAGGGAGGTCAGTGTCTTTCTTACCTACTGAAGTTTTGAACAATTCTTTAATTTCTTTTTTTTTTTCTGCTTGATTATTTGTCTGAGATTTCTTTAATGATACTAGAAATCTTTTGTTTTCCTCCTTGAAATTTTTACCATTTGTTGTGTTCTGTTCTCTAAGGTACGAAATTTGAATTTGAAATTCAAATGCCGTTCTTTATTTGTTCGTAGTGAACTTCAGAGTGTTTTGGTGTTCACTTGTTATGTCATTTGTTTTGGAAACGTAATTCAGGGAGTATAACTTGAATTTACAGAAGGAAGACATTATCTGCATTCTCTAGCATTTGTGGCAATTGTTTCTTAAAATTGGTTAAAATTTCATTTTAGGAAATTGTGTCCTCTTCTTTATGTTTCCTTTTTTCTTATTTGAGTGTTCTGAAATTTATTTCCAAATCAAGAAGTTCAAGAATATTAACTCATAGTTCACTTTGATCATCTCCCCTTGTTCTGATTTAACTCATAGTTCGCAAGAAGAATTTAGCTTAAATAGAAGAAGAAATATTATATTGTAAGTGCTGCAATTTTATAAGATATGACTCTGATTTTTGGGCCGATGTTTGTTTTCATTTGTTCACAATTCAGGGTTCCGATAAGCATAAGACAGAAGTGCCATTATCAGTCATTAGCCAGAGGTCGAGAATCGATGCTTTCTCCAGTACAAGAACTGGAGGAAGAGGAGTTGGATTGCCTCCACCATCCAAGTTCAGGAGTGGACACTTATCAGGAGTGATTCCAGTGTCAAGAGTCATCCCCGGTGATCTTGATGACAGCAGAACGGCATCTGATAATGATATGTCCACTGACTCAGAAGAGGAGATTTATGGTGGAAGATATTCCCTTGACTCTTCGCCTCAGGATGATAGAGTTCCTACTAGAAGTAGTGCTTCTAGATATCGCAATCCTGTGGCAGGGCCGGCTCCCCAATATGCCAGTGATTCGCTGTATTCAGAGGATGTGAATTCATCGAGGGAAACACTAGGGAGAGGGCAGGGGTGTGTGGCAGACAGATTGATGAGGGGTGCTAACAGATACTCTGTTGGAAACAGTACTTACACGGAGGATGAGTCTTCTGATTCTGCTGCCAGTTCTGAATTTTCCACCACATACATAGGGAGCAACAATGGAACTGCGCCGTCTACTAGAGGTAATGTGTCACAAGGGCATGGGTCTGGTGTTTCCCAATTGAAGACGGAAAGCATGGCACTGAAGGTACTTCAATGGACTAGGAGTTCTGTCTTTTGGTTACTTTGTCTTTACCTTAACGCATCGTGGAGTTTCAGGTTATGTTCTTGTTAGATATGCAAATCATAACTTTTCTTTTGATGTTCATTTCTTCATTCAACCTGAATCGTTTCTTTTGGTTTAGAACTGAGATAAGATGAGGGTCTACAACTCTACATTATAACTCTTGTTTGAACTCACAAAATTCTGAACAATCACTTATTATGGACGCTTCTATGTGAAGTTAGAATGTATGGAATTGGAATTGACTTTTAAACTCCAATTATGCTGCGAAGCTGCCTGTTTCTGACCTATGGTTCAAGTCAATGGTTTGATGATCAAAGTGCTCTAAAATCTAAACGTATATTGCTTTAAATATTTTCTATTTCTAGCTCCACTTGCCTGCAAAGGAAAAGCCTGGACAATGTCAGGCTGGTTAATTAATCCCTTTTGTTTTTTCCGTATCATAACTAAACACTTTTCATTAGTGTGGAATTGACTAGAAGGATCAGATCTTGTGATCTTCATAACCATAATCAAAATCTTAATGTTGCAGTCTTGTTCTATAAAACACTTATTGTCACTTCAGTTGTGGTGTATCATTTTCATTCTTTAGATTCTTTTGAAGTCTCTTAGGTCTTTGTCTTTCCCTTTGAAGTTAGTTTTAAAATTGTCTATTTCTACATGGCGGCCACCTATGGTCTGTCTCTATGCTCATATCTTCAACCGCTGTAACTGTGGTTCTCGCATTTTCTCCTCAACAAAGACTATCCTTAATTTAATGTTAGTGCATTCATGCTCATTATATCTAATCTAGTGTGTCTACACATTCATCTCAACATTTTTGTTTCTTCAACCCTCGCTGTTCTTGTTCATGGTTAGTTCTACAACGATGTAACTATAAAGAATGAGTTGTTTTATGTTACTTTTTAGAATTTTTTTCTTTCTTATCCCCTGTACTTCCATCAAAATAGAGTTTAGAAAATATTTTTAATCATTATTCCTATCCCCTTGACATTGTGTAACAACTTTCACTGGAGGAGTTTGATATACCGTTTGGTACATATCATTCCTGCCCCAGTTTTCACCCACGTCATTGTTTTCCCAATGATTAATAAACGGGTATCTATATGTTCATTTTAGTTTGCTAATTGTAAAACTTTTGACACTGATGCTTCTCTTGCTTATGATGTTGTCTTCATCAATACGGCCATTATACTTGATGAGTATATATTTTATACAAACTTCTGGATGCATCTCACCCATGCCCCAGCTTTCCCCCACATCGTTGCTTTTCCAAAATGAATAAAATTTCTATCCCTAGGTTCAGTATTAACTTTATTGATTATGATTGTTTTAGACACTAATGCTTTCCTTGGTCATTATGTGAGTTCCCTTCCCTCTATGCTTGCATTAATTCTTCTTTGTCTGCAAATTTCTGCAACAAAACTTGAAATTTCCTTTATGCTTATGGTAAAATCTTCTTTGTATGCTTATGTTGTGAATTGCTTTTCAGCAGAATGTAAATTCCAGAAATTTGGAGAGCCAAAAGTTCTGTGAGGAAGATGTTCCCAGTGCACCTCCATTTTGTGGTCCTGGTGGAGATATTAAGCTGGACAGGGAGAAAAGTCATGCCACAAAGACAGAACATGTACCCTCCATTGAACCAGAGAAAAGCTCTTTTGCAAGTAGGCCGTCTGTTATTGGTCAACAGGATGTTGTTCGAAAAGAAACTCATGACTCAACAATGAGGTTCGCATTTTGAGTTTTATGTAGTTATGATTATCTGATAGGAGTCAAGCTATTCTATTTGTGCTCCTTGTCTGAATGATGATATTGTCATTTTTTGCCTGTAGGCCAGCTGCTGCAGATGCAGAAAGTGGTGTCCCCTCCAGTACATATCCCTATCGCCTTCCCACATTTCATGCCATGTATGATTACACCATACAATAATGATTGTATATCAAGTTACTTCGGTTTCTGACCATGACTTACATTATTATCAATGAACTTCAGGGCACTAGGGCCTTGGCATGCTGTGATTGCGTATGATGCATGTGTTCGTCTGTGTCTTAATGCCTGGGCAAGGGGTTGCATGGAAGCTCCCATGTTTCTGGAGAACGAGTGTGCCTTGTTACGAAGTTCATTCAAGTAAGTTGATTAATGCCTTGTATCCCTTCTGTTCATCCTGTCTATAGGATCTTGTTCTCTGGTCCATCATTAGAACAGGATTGTGCATTTGATAATGTTAGCATACCAGGGGGGAGGACTTTCTTATTCATTTCCAATAACAACTAACCTTTATTCCACCACGTGGGGCTGTGAATCAGTATATTGTTGTATTCATATTTCTTGAATCCGTGCCGATCATGGTTGCTGTTCCTAATTTAGAATTCGGGAATGTCTTGTTACTCATTTTCACCCCAATTTTTCCTTATCCACAGTTTGCAGCAAGTGTTACTGCAATCAGAGGAAGAATTAATGACAAAGCGGTCTTCTGAGCTGCCTGCGGAAGGTTCTGCTGCTAAACCCAAGAAGATGGTTGGGAAGATGAAGGTGCAAGGTAGATTCCTTTTCTTTTTAATTAGATTCTCTTATCCATGTTCCAAAATTGTTAGAAACAGTCACACCATTTTGCTTATGTGTGCAGTGAGGAGGGTGAAATTGGGCCAGGACCCACATAAAGGTTGCACCTCTATAAATGCACCAAAATTAAAGATGGAAGCTGTCCGCTATCAGATCTCCAATCTGCAGTCAGCAATTTCATCTGGTTGGCATGCAGTTCGCAGAGTTCGCTTTGCACCTCGGGTGTTAAAGGGTTCTATTTCACGCCAGAGCTTGGCATATGTTCATGCTAGTACTCAGTATATAAAGCAAGTCTCTGGGCTTTTAAAAGTTGGTGTTGCAACATTACGTAGCAGTTCAACTGCTTATGAGTTACAAGGTTTGAGATTACTACCACTTTTTCTTTGCAGAGATTCTTGTAAGTGACTAGTATAGCCTTTCGTATCTGTGATACCACAGCTGCTACGAATTTTTGAAACCAGTTTAAAAGTTGATTTTGCTATAAACATGTCTGAATATTTGATGGTTATCTTTTGCCAGAATGTCTATATTGACTTTTCCTCCTTAAGTTATGGTACTGCAAGGGCAAAAATTCTTATCAGTTGGATATTACTTTTTGTATGCTTTTGTCAAAGTTTCTTTTTACATCAACCTACAATAGATATTCTTTAATTTTCAATTATATTATTGCTTGATCTGCCTCTTCTGCCTCTTAAAGTTGTCATTCTGTGAATGCCATGCTTATGTTATTGTGAGCACATATATCTTATTAATTTGTGTTCTTTTTTCTTCAGAAAAATACTCTTGTTTGCTCCGACTTAAAAGTTCCAGTGAAGAGGATGCCATCAGAATGCAGCCTGGCTCTGCGGAGTCTCATATATTGTATGCACTTTTCAACATGAAGTCTCTTCATTTGCCTTGTCTTATGAATATGTTGCTGACAACTTTACAGTTTTCCAGATGGTCTAGGCGATGATCTTGTCATTGATGTCCAGGATTCAATGGGGAAGCATTATGGCCGTGTAGTTGCTCAAGTAGCTACTATTGCAGAGGACCCGGTAAAGTTTTAGAGATCCTGATTTTGTCCTATCTATTCCTGGTTGGTTTCCTTTTTCATGATGTCTCATAAACTAAATACTTGCAGGGCGAGAAGCTAAGGTGGTGGTGTATTTATCATGAACCAGAGCATGAAGTTGTTGGGAGAGTGCAACTTTCTGTTAACTATTCCACAAGTTTGGATGAGACTAATAACCTTAAGGTTGGTCATCCATGATTCCCTAAGCATTTTTGGTTCCATATTTGCTGATCTCTTATTACAATTATAAGAATATGAATTAGACCTCTCAAGTTTCGGCCCTAATGAGCATACGCGGCAATCGAAATACTTTTTGTATCTCCTGGCTCATTTCCTATGACCAAAATTTTAAATATACGATTGCACCTATATCAGGAAGGCTGTATGCTTATCATATTACTTGGGATTTGTGTAGTGCTGTCTTTGTACCTCATTAGTATATTGTAAAAATTACACTGTTCTCTGACACATTTCATTTTCAGTGTGGCTCAGTTGCAGAAACTGTGGCTTATGACCTAGTCTTGGAAGTTGCAATGAAGATTCAGCACTTTAGACAAAGAAATTTAGTGCTGCATGGTGCATGGAAGTGGTTGCTTACCGAATTTGCATCATATTTTGGGGTTTCTGATGCATATACCAAGCTAAGGTATGGAGATATAATACATTCAAGCACGTAACTTTACATTATCAGACTCTGTTAGCCCCGAATTTTCTTATCAAGTAACCTTTAACAATCCACTTTTTCTGCTGAAATCTGACATTCTTAATCTCCTTGCGTTTATGCCCAATATTGTAGGTACCTCGCTTATGTTATGGATGTCGCCACTCCTACTGCCGATTGTCTTGAATTGGTTCACGATCTGCTTCTCCCCGTTATAATGAAGGGTCATAGCAAGACCACCCTTAGTCATCAAGAGGTAATTTTTCTTGCAATTTCTCATTTTAATTGTGTTAGAAATAAACTAATCCATCTTTGCTGATATTGCTTCTGATGCCTTTTTATCTTCTTGGTTTTGTGTGCCAGAACCGTATCCTTGGTGAAATTGAGAACCAGCTGGAACAAATCTTTTGTCTTGTTTTTGAAAACTACAAATCCCTGGATGAATCATCACCGTCAGGGATCATGGATGTCTTTAGACCAGCTACTGGTCAAGCAGCACCTGCGTTGAAGCCAGCTGTTAAACTATACTCACTTCTTCAGGACATATTTTCTCCTGAGGCACAAAACAAGCTTTGCGGCTATTTCCAGGTTGAGAAACTGAAATACTTAAGATTGGCCTCTGTTTTTTCCTTTTATTCTCGCTTATGGATTTCGTAACTGTGACAGGTGGCTGCCAAAAAGAGATCAAGGAGACACTTAACTGAGACAGATGAGTACGTTAGTGGAAACAATGAAGGGTTACTGATAGATGCTGTCACTGTTTCTACTGCCTACGGGAGAATGATATCTTTATGCATGAATATCAGAAACGAAATTTTCACAGATATAGAGATCCACCATCAAGATATACTTCCTAGGTACATTTGTTTCTTTAATTTTGTGGTTTTCAGCTATCTGCTTGGTTCAATGTTTATGCTTCTCATGGAACTCAATATTTTGGATATGTCCAGTATTTGAAATAAGATGACTGATAAGATGGGGTCATTGTTGAGTTTTATGCTTTTTGTGGGGAGGTACAAAGAAAGTCTTGGAAATGCTTTACATTGCTACTTTGCTGGAACTTCTATGTAAAATTTATTCACTTGATAAGAAAGCATCAAATTTACTGTTTCCTTGTTGGGAGATAAGTTGGAAACTATGTGCCTCGCTTTCCCAGCTTGTTTTAGACTATAGCTATAGCTTTTATTCACATTCTCTGCTGCTACTTTATCAAAGTGAAGACAGAAAAATAAATTAATATGCAACTGCTTAAGGTAAAGCCTTCCATATGAGTAACCCTGCAACCCAATATTTTAGAAATGTCCAGAATTTGAATCAGGTCGATTGGATGTGGTCATTATGGCTTTAAATTGGGGATGGGTTCCATAAGGAAAATTTAGACATCTTTTTGGCTGTGTTGGGAGAATCTGCTTGCTTTGCCTATCTTTAGTCATCTACTACTAAATCATGTCATACAATATCTCCCTGAACAGACCAGACCCATTGTTTGCAGGCCTCTCCCTCATTGCAAGAATAGTGAAATTATTTCATAGCTTAATTAAAATGATTAGACATGTCATTATAAGGATTTGCTAACAATTTCCCCTTATTTGCAGTTTTATAGATCTGCCAAATCTTTCAGCATCTATATACAGTGCAGAACTCTGCAATAGGTTGCGTGCCTTTCTTATTGCATGTCCTCCAGCTGGCCCTTCACCACCTGTAACTGAGCTTGTCATTGCAACAGCAGACTTTCAGAGGGATCTTGCCGGATGGAATATCAAGTATTTCTTTGTCTTACATATTATCTTCATGCACTTCACATCACAGTCTGGATGATTAAATCTGATCGGCCTTTTCTTTTCCCCCGATAGACCTGTCAAAGGCGGAGTTGACGCAAAGGAATTGTTTCATTTATATATTGTTCTGTGGATACAAGATAAGCGCCTTTCTCTACTAGAGTCATGCAAATTAGACAAGGTACGTGAAAAATATAGTGCTTTTTAAATGAAGTTTTTATATTTTTCATTTTTGGTCGCTTCTGTCAATTGAAGTGTCTTTTTCCACTATTGATCTCTATAGTTACATGATTGAATGGAATATTGCAGTGCCCTAAATTTGGTGTGTTTTTTTTTTTCTTTCTTTTGGTTGACCCTCCTTCGTGCTGAAGTTTCTCAACTGTATTTGGTTTTATTTGTTGCTCAAACTCTGATCCAGCATCTTCTGTTGTCTGAGCTGAGTAAACTATAAGTTCTCATCCATGCAAAGGACACAAATCTGACCTCCTTGCGAGCTATGCAAAAAAAAATTGAATGATAAGACTGGGCAGGGAATTTGCATCTGAAGCTGATTCTACAATGGATGTTTATGTTTTGATTACCATCATTCACTTGTGTTCATGGAAGGAAAACTAATAAGAAATTTGTACTAGCAGTTTCCTGTTTTCCAAAAGTCGGGGATTTTTTTTTTTATTTTTTTTTTTGGACTAACCATGAATTCCTGCTGGAAAGTATACAGCCAATATAGGCAGATAATTTCCTTTTCGTGTGTCTAAATGCGTGTTTTGTTATTTATTTCTTTTTGCATGATATAATGTCAGTTACTTCACAAAAAGTTTCTCATAGCCAGCCTGTGTACCCTCCTAGTTATGTGCTTTACTCATGCTATGTAAACGACTCAATTGATTTGCAGGTCAAATGGTCAGGAGTTCGGACACGGCACGCAACCACCCCATTTATTGATGACATGTATGATCGCCTCAAAGAGACATTAAATGATTATGATGTCATCATTCGTCGCTGGCCAGAGTACACATTTGTATTGGAAAATGTAAATTGTCATCTATATATCTTTCTTCCATTTTTGGCTTCCTTTGCTTAATTTTGATGTAATCGGTTGTTGAAATTATCTTTCATTTATTCCCTTTGCATCCAAAAAAAAGGCTGTTGCTGATGTTGAGAAAGCAATCGTTGATGCTCTGGAGAAGCAGTATGCAGACGTCCTATCTCCATTGAAGGAAAACCTTGCGCCAAAAAGATTTGGTCTGAAGTATGTTCAGAAGCTTACTAAGAGAAATGTCACCGCATATGTAGTGCCTGAAGAGGTGACCTAAGTCCTTAACTTGCCTGACATCAAAGTTTATTTAACACACTATCTTGACCTATATTTTATTTTTCCCTTCTCCTAGCTCGGCACTCTTTTGAACTCAATGAAGAGAATGCTGGATATTCTACGCCCCAAGATAGAGCACCAACTGAAGTCATGGGGTTCATGCATACCTGATGGGGGGAACACAGCTCCAGGAGAACGCTTAAGTGAAGTCACTGTAATGCTTAGATCCAAGTTCAGAAATTATTTGCAAGCAGTGGTTGAGAAGCTAGTAGAAAACGTAAGTAATATGAGCTCATGACTCTCATAAAGATTGACAAAATTATATATGCAGGAAAGCTATGCGTTTAATATGATAGAACACAGTTATGGTTTTTTTTTTTTTTTTTTGGTTGCTTTGGTGATAAATGAACACAGCAGTTCAGGTTTTTCATGTGTGCGTGTGTTGGGTTGGGGTGGGGTGGGGTGCGGTGGGTGAGCAGTGGCTCAGTTATCTGAAAATACATATGACTTAGCAATGCTCGTTTGTCTGCTTTCCTCAGTCCAAATTACAGGGCAGCACAAAGATGAAGAAAATACTGCAGGACTCCAAAGATGCTATGGTAGAATCAGATGTGAAGAGCAGGATGCTACCCCTAAAGGAACAGCTTGCATCCACCATCAATCATCTGCACTCCATCTTCGAATCTCATGTATTCATTGCATGTTGTCGGGGATACTGGGACAGAATGGGGCAGGTAATCTCCATTTTTTTCAATTTCACTGCCTCCTTGTTACATTTTTTTTGTGACTTATACTCATTGGGAAACCTGTGTTTGTGTTTGTACTTTAGGATATCCTAAGCTTCTTAGAGAGCAGGAAAGAGAACAGAGCATGGTACAAGGGGTCACGGATTGCTGTATCTGTAAGTGGGCGCATTCTGTACAAATTTTGTGCTCAAATTGTGCTGATCCCAATGCTTATCCTCTTTCCTGATCACCTGTTTTATGAAGGTTTTGGATGACACCTTCGCATCACAGATGCAACAGCTCCTTGGGAATTCCTTGCAAGAAAAAGACTTGGAGCCTCCACGATCTGTTGTTGAGGTGCGCTCAATCCTCTGTAAAGATGCACAAAGTAACAAGGGAAACTCATTCTATTACTAGGCCAAATCGCATGAGCTGCATGGAAGATATCCATTGAAGACATTCATACTGTGGGGAATCCTGGACTTGGCCATCCAATTTTTCCAACCAAGTGTTCCCATTATGATACAACCCAGCTGCTAAATACTTCAACTTGAAGACACAAGAAACTATGCACAACCTCGTTGTACTGCTGAAATTGGGTAGAACTCAAACTCTGACAGTAAAGCGAGTTAGCGGCGTGAGCAGGGAACCGTGCTGCTCCAAGTCAACTTATCTCCCACAGGGAACATAGTTTGGGTTATATTTTGATGGCAAAATATCGCGTTGTCCATTGTCGGACTCTGAAGTCTTAATACTTGATACTAATAGCATTGAAATCTACCTAATCCGCTACATTTTACATGTTAATATTATAGCTACCGGTGGTTTTTGGTTACCTACTATCATCGCATGTAAAGCAATTTGATCACCGTTGCAAATATAGAGGATCTCATTCATGGACTCAATGGAAAATGCCATATTGGAAGTGTACCAATCCTCCTAATCTTTTTGAGGAAAAAGAAAAAAAGAATAACCAATCCCCCCAATCTTAGTTTCATTCTTTGCGTAGCTTGAGTTTTCTTCCTCAACATATTTAAGTTTCACCAGTAAGCATTGGAAACCATGAGAATTTTTTTTGTTTTCCGGAAAAAGTACTATTAAATTCCGCAAAGGAGACCGAGAAGTGCATTTGCTGTTTCAAGAGAGTTAGGGAGAGAGTGGTCCATTTTGTTATACACTGATAATTTACGGGTATTTTCATAAACCAACATACTCAAACTAGAAAGGTACTGGCATTGGCTATGGAACAAAGAACCTTTCATTGATGGACTATTTACAGGATTTAACCACTACAGAGCACTTGATTGTAACAACTGTGATCGAATGGCATTCATATTTTACACATTCAAAGAATGGGAAGGCATTTTAGCAAAGAAAGCACCACAACAACCATGATTCTAGTGTCCAAGGCTGCTCAGAAAAGTTTTGATATAACGTGGCAGGACGTCCAGAATGCTGCGGAGGCAGCCTTGAGAATGGCAGGGTTTTGGTATATCCTGGTAAACGGAAAAAATGACAAGAACATCAGGCACTGCAAACAAGTTACAAGGCAGGCTTTTTCAACTCCATTGCGAACTTTAGTAGTTACATATAATTACAGTCCAGAAAGAAACATACAGCAGGAAATAGCAAGTTCAAGGATCGTCAGCACTTTTTTGGGGGGCCATATAACATATTGTAAAAACACAGTACTAATTTTAGCTCTTTATCACCAAACCTTTCCTTTTTGTGCCATGCTAAGAAGTTTTCGTACTTGTTTTGTTAATCTTTCACGTGCCTCAGACTAACTACTTCTCATGCAGTTTCATAAAAATCGATTATCGACATCACTTAGAAAAAGAACTTATCTACAACTAAGATGAAAAGACAGAACTGCTGATAAAGGTTGCTTACCCAATAGCTGTAGCTCCCCAGGATGCCACATTATAAATAACTTTGCTCCCATCCCATGCCTTCCGAAGCTTTCCCTTTTTCTTTTTCAGGGAAAAGGTCTTGCAGAGAGCTGGAAGAAAATTAACAAACTCTCATTTCTCTATTTCCCAAGGATTCAAATAGTGAAGTTATATAAGAGGTCCAATTTATCAACCATGGTCATCGAATGCCCATAAGAGACTAATCTGCCAACTACTAGAAGGAAAACTGGAAATAAACATAAACTATAAAAGCAATTCAACTGACCTTGTTGAAGTTGGTTTGGCGTTAACTCCTGTCAATACATAAACAAAATACAGTGTCAAGGCCAGACATGGAGAGGAAATTAACACACCCAAAAGGGAGGGTCAGAATGTATGGAGGCACTAAGAAAAACAATAGAAAATATATATCTACCTTGGTCTCTTTAAGGGATAATAAATAGGCAGCCATGAAACAAGCGATACCATCCACTATATCCTCTTGTCTAACTAAAACATAGTCGTCTTGATCTAAATCCTTCCCACCTTCCCAAAGGTCATTCTCATTGACCATATCCCACGATGTGCTTTCTTCTGCATCGAACAAAAGACACTTAACATCAATCCACTATATGTTTCTTTATAGAAGATTACTACCCAAAACATTGAATTTCAGATAACGGAATAAGTTCAGCAGTATACCAGCTATACTTTGGAAAACTGAAGCCTGGGCAGTCTCAAGCTTTTCCAGGAAATCAGCACATTCAACTCTCGATTTTATAAGGTCACAGAGCTGCACATGACACCAGCAAACTGGTCTCAGATTTCATTTCCATTGATAAACCAATTACATCTAACCTGAGCAACCATGTAGAAACTCAATACTCTAGTCATTCGATATTTTTTGTGCTTGCAAAAATGTTGATCAAACTACTCCTACATTTGTTGTCCCTACTTACCCTATGCCATTTCCTAATGGTAACTGAACCTTTTCTCTGTCACATGAGGTTCAAAAGCAGCAAGTGGCTTACAATCTTGATCCACTAATGCCAAAAATTTAGAATAAAGAAAATCTCTAAACTTCAATTATTGAAAAACCCAAAAGCTCCATCTCCAGTCCATAGCTATAACTGAATGTAAGTTAGCTCGAATTACACCAAAAACATATTAATTCAGTTCCACAACAATTTTCAGCTCCCTCTAGCTCAAAAAAGAACAAAAAAACTCCCAAATTTCAAAACTAATCCATTCAGAAGAGCTTACCTCAGCGGTCTCTTGGTCGCGGCAAGGCGTGGAAGACGGACTACCGGCGGCGGCGTTATCATCGGATTCGTCATCATCTTCAGTTGAATCATCGCCGACTTCTTCCAAACAACCGGTGGTGCTGAGCAATTGAAGAGCTCTCTGGCACTCGCCGAGCACAGCTTCAAGGGTTTTCCTCTTGACCCGGACCCGATCTCGATCCGAATTCATCCTTTCTAGTTTGAGGATCGCCTTTTTACCCGCCGCCGATACCACCTGTTCCACCTCCATATCCCCCATCCTCCTAATTTTAGTAATACCAAATTAATTGAAAAAAAAATTCAATAACTATTATTACGCACATAAAAAGGGAAAAAAGAAAAAAAAAAGTTCCCTTTTTTGAAGCAAAATTAGAATCAAAATTAATTAAAATAAAAAAAAAACCTGGGTTTTAATTATGGTGATGAGAAATATGGTTATGGTCCATTCGGAGGGGTGATATGATGATGATAGGAGAGAGAGAAGAAGGAAGAAAGAAGATAATTGAGGAAAGAGTGAAAAAGATGGCGTGAGCCGCCTGCGTTTCGTTTGATTTCGGTCTTCGTTTTGGGCTTATGTTTTGTCTTTACAATACAACTCTTTGACGTATTTTCTTTTTGGCTTTTGTAAGGGAACTAAAATGGTTTCATTTGTGAACTTTGTTTAGTATTTCGTACCTCATTCGTCTCAAAATAATTATACAAAACAAACAAAAACAGGGTAATATCATAGTATGTAATTCCTAATCATGGTTTGAAATTAGAAAAAAAAAAAAAAGAAAAAGAAGATGGAGAGATAATTTAGCTAATTTGATACAGATTTCAGATAATATTTTGAATGTAGACAAAAATACGATATTGGTTCAGTTCTATATAGAATAACGGTTTTACTCTCCGGAAAATACAAATCTCTATTTCATAAAAAAATTTCATATATTATAAATTGTGAAGTCCAAATTTTTAGCATATTTTACAATAAAGATTATTTATGGACAATATATTAAAAGTTTGTTTCTTAATTATTATTAATCGAATTACATATAATTTCTTGCGATGTATTGACATTTATACTATACTTTTAAGTTCTCTTAGATTTACAGATTTTACCTATTTTATTAGTGGATTATAGTTAATTAGTTATGCATGTTACTACATGATTAGATGCGAAACTTATATACCTAGAGATACCATATCAGGAATTAAGTCGACGAGGTAAACTTTTTTTGGAAGTTGACGAGAATATATACAATTATAAATCAAAATAGTTAAAATACTACTACTACCTTTAACGTATGTAGACACAGAATAATTTCCCAAAAGTAGACCTTTTTTTTTCCATTATGTTCCTGGATCAATAATAGTGATCTTCCCTGGGTCGTCAGCCGAAGGCCTGTATTAGACGACACATTTTGTCCCTTCAGCCCAACTACAAGTCTCCAAAGCAAACAATGTAAAACGCAAACAATGGGGCAGAAGAGGCCCAGTACAACCTTGCTTGGTTGATGACCTATGCATTTCCGATTCACCTGGCTTGGTTCAAGTAGATTGATGACAAATAAACAAGCTCGAAACCAAATAATTTCAGATATCATGACGCATTAGACATTTTTAAATCATTATCTTAATGCGCTTTTACCTCCTAAAAATAATATATCTGACTTGAATTCAGATTAGGCGGAGTAATGATTTCGGACACCAAGTATTATAATATATTCAAAAAAAAAAAGCATTATGTTAATGATGAAAAACTTTGACATGCCTTCTGTCGACTTTACAAATATTATTCCAACGAGTTGAACTGAACTATTCGTATTCATATACGAAACTAGAATCTATGTCCTTCAATTAGCACATTTTCAATTTTATTTTTCTAAAAAACCTCCCAAAACTCTAAGAAAGCTCCCAACTCCAAATTTGCTGGAATATAATCACAACTACATCTTCTGTAGGTAATAAGTAGCTTCAAATTTGTTAAACTGTCGAGTGGAGAAGTGTATTTCCAGTTTACAATTTTGCTTTTGCCTATGGACATGTTACATATAATAATATGTAAAGGCATTTTCATTCTTGTAGTAGTATTTGATTATTATTATTATCTCCAACATAGATCCCCATTTGGCCATCCCTGGAGTTAGAATTACGATACTAACACAGAATACCAAAAAAAGAAAGAATTAAAAAAAAAAAAAAAACACGCACACACACAGTGAGACAAGTAGGATATTCTTTTACACCACCACCACTTTTACACCATCATGTCATGTGCTTTTGATCAGTCCTAACTTTGAGACAATCTTTCTTTTACACTATTATTTTACACCCCACCAAAAAACATCACACACACAATCACGTACACGCCCAAATTCCCAGATCCCCAAAACCAACACCATTGTTGTTGTTTTCACAGTCTCACAAAGTGGACAGCTTGTCTTCTGCAATTTTTGTACGTCATTCTCCCACGGACCCGTCTTTCCTTCTTCCTCCTGCTAGTAGTAGCAGGCTGCTACACCAAATACTCCACTTGCTTTCTTATCAAGTTTGACCCTACTTTTAAAAGCGATTTTAGTACTACTTTTTTAGATCAATGGTTTAGAGAAAGTGGTATTTTCACTTTTCAACTGATGAGATTAAGATTTTTCAAAAAAAAAAAAATTAAAAAACAAAATTATGATACCCTTTTCATTCTAAAAAAAAATCACATTAGATCAACTAATATTTTTTTTTATTAAGGCAGAGAAAATATTGCATTCTTTTTGAAAATTGATTGTTAATATAGTTATAGATAAGTAGTACTCACTCTGTTCTGAAATTATTGTCTAATTAAGATTTTTTCACTTTCAGTATAAATTAAGTAAAAGTGAAAATTCAAACTAAACAACAATTTTTAGACGGATAAAATATGTAATTTTGTAAAGTCTCGTAATTTCCAGTATAAGTATATAGATGTATACTCTACAATGTTACACACCAAAAATATACAGAATACATTTTCACAAACGTTAATTAATGCACGATGAATGTATGTAGTGTAGTGTAGTGGAGTAGAATATTTCTTATTGTGTTATCATCAAAGGATATAATATGGGGAGTGGCAGCAACAGGGAGAATCATTCTGATGGATTCAGAATTTTGTGCAAAGTACCATTTGTTTAAGAGTTGGACCAAAAATGCGAATGATGAAATCTTGGAAAGTTTCAATGCTTTTTATTCTTTATTAAGTTTATGGGATACTTTTTCAATTAAGACTTTTTTTTTTTTTTTTGAAGTGGGCATGCCCCTTGGGACATTATGACAAATTTTTTTGGGATAAATTTTGTGGATTTTCGTAAAGAAATGATTAAAGCATCTCCAACCAAGATATCAAAAATACTTATTTGGTGTTTTGGTGTAAGTTTTCACTACCAGAACACAATAAATCACTACACTATTTTGGTGTAATGAATAGTGTTACATCAAATTTGGTGTAAATTGTTAATTACACTATTTTTAGTGCACTATCTTTTTACTTAGATCTAAAGATATATTTGCTATGCAATTAAACTTGTGAAACAAATTATGTTGTAAAAATTATATCATATTAAATATTTTGTTGAGATCTACAAAAGAAGACCCATATTGAATATAAATTTTTATTTTTTTAAAAAATAATTTTTACTTATTATTAAAATTGAGTATGAAAAATAAGTAAAACAAAAATTGGTACATCTACAATCAAATAAAAAGCGATTATAAGGAACAAATTTCACAAAATTATCACCAAATTATATTATTTTAATTAACTACAAAGATAAAATTTAAACTAAAACATTTAATAGGTAGACATTTTAGTGCATTAAGGTTGGAGTGTAAAGAACTTTAATATAAAAATATGCTTAAAATATTTAATTTGTGCACTTGCAGTGGTTGGGAGTGAGTGAGAGGAGTGACCACTGACCACGAACATTAGAATAATTTGGCTCCGTTTATATGAATTTTGGGAATTTTTTTCTTCGGATAGAGAGAACAGAGCTAGGGTTCGGTTGACCTTTTCATAATCACAAATCACAATACATTTTGACATTTAGGGTTTTTGTACTTCGTGCATGTTTTTCAAAGGACATTGGCCTTTGCCAGCCTCAACCTGCAGTCAAATTAATCCATTCATGGCTCTCTACATTCTGGAGAGCTCAGAAAGGAGTTGACTGGTGAATGATCGATCAATTCATGAACAATGAAAAGTCAAACTCTATTTTATTGTTCTAAAAATTGTAGAATCAAGCTTAAGAAAATTAGCTCTATACAATATGCATGTATTATCAGTTACTCCCTATGTCTCAAAATTATTGTCCAGTTTGAGATTTCACTTTTAGTACAATTTGAACTAGAAATGAAAACTCAAATTGGACAATAATTATGGGACGGAGGGAGTACAAACTTTGAACAATATTTTATCCGGTCTTATTTTTAAGCTTGAATGCATTATGAACTACATTAATTTTATATAGTGATCTTTAAATAAAATTAGAATGAATATAAGTTTAGAATGTACGGTTAATATATTTAAGCTAACTCGTAACCTATGTTTGATATATGAACAATTACAAGGTATCTAGCATATTGATAACAAACTGAATAATTCCAAAGTTTAATTTCAACTATACACACAAGTTTATCATTGGTAATCAACAAGATTGCCCAATAATCTAATCGAATTTCTAAAATGCTCAAAATTTTCTTGCTAATTGTTATGATCAACCCAACCACAATAGAGTTTAATGGTGCAAATTGCCAATTGCATGTGGATTATTTTTATGGACAGAAAGAATACTTGTCTATTTCCGTAAGTGTATGATAATGCTATGAATGTGTGCAATGAAATAGAGTACTGTATCATCATATTGACTTAAAAAAAAAAACTAATTAAATAAACAGTATCTTAGAAATTTTTTTTTCTTTAAGGAAGGAGGAGGAGAAAACTTATCTTAGAAAATAAAAAGACTAGAAATAGTTTTCTTTAAGACAAACCCCAAAAAAATCCTTAATTAAAGCGAAGGGGGACATATTTTCCCTCCAAGATATACGCTACGGTTGAAGAAACAAAAGGGAGTGGGACCAAGGGGGAGGGGCCAATCACGTCGTGCCACCCAATCAGCAACAAAAGAAACTAGGAAAGTCTTCCCTCTTCCCCCGCTCAATTTGGAAAGCTGATTCAATCTCTGTGCAAAAATAAGAAATTTTCCCCCAAAAAAGACACACACTCACACAGAAGAAAAAAAGAAAGGGAAATTCAGAGAAAAAAAATGCAAAATAATTAAATTTTTCCTTCGACTTTGCTTGACCTTCGGGTTTCCGTTAGCACCAAGACGTGACTCATTTCTGATTTCTTCCCTTTCTTACCAAAAAAAAACTTCATGAATTTCTTCCCTTTTCTTTCACTTTTTCTTCCCTTCTCTGCAAATTTTCTCTTGGGGTGATAAAAATGGTGAAATGACATTGTATACCCACATTGCTAGTGTAAATTTTTAGCTGAAAGGGGAGGGGAAAATAAAAACAAAGGTTTGTTTTTTAGCTACATTTTTTCACTACATTTACTCTGATCCAATTTGATTTAAAGCCCTAATTTGGTATTTGTGTTAATCCAGTTTGAATTTGGATTTTGGTGTTGCCAAAATGCAGGTTTGTTGTTTATGAAGGGAAATGTGATAAGAATTGTGGTGGGATCAGGATATGACTAATCGGAACGCAGACGCTCCCCAGGTGCGCGATTTGATCATCCTCTGCCTTGTATTTTAAGATTTGTTCTGCTCCTTTTCTGTGAAATGGGAGAGAAAAATTGATTTTTTTTTTTTTTTTGTTTTTGTTTTCTAAATTTGGGAAAAATCTTGATTGAATGTTGTTGCTGAATCAGGGGGAAGGTGGTAATGATGCGGTGCCACCAGCATCTCAGCCGCAAGCTCTGGCGCAACCGCAATCGCAAACTCAGGGGAACAATGATAATCTAGTTTCTCGAGGAAACAATAAGGTTAAGTTCAATTCATACAAAGTTTCTACTTTTGTTCTTAATTCAGGTGTATTAAGAGTTTCTCTTCTTTCCATTTTCTGGCTTTGTTTTGATAACAATTAGAATTATATGATTATTATTATCCTAAAAAATCTCTTTGCTTTTTTGATGTAGAGAATACATATACATAGTTTGTGTGTGTGTGTGCGTGCGTGTGTGTGTGTGTGTGTGTGGGGTTTTTTTTTTTTGGGGGATATGAATGGTTCCTTTCGCATTGTTGTTTTGATCAATTTTTGCTGCTAGTGGAACGGAAAAATAGGTGGTAGCTGATTGGGCTGAGCACTTCTAAGTTTGAAATTTTTGTTGCCTGTTCTGAAGATGGTTTGTATTCAGATTTGAGTTCGGGAAGGACAATTGAATGAAGTTGTTCAATAGTTAGATAATATTGACTGCATGCATGCTTTTATTGTGGTTGTGTACTTAGTTTTCCAGACTTGCCACTATAGCTTCCTAATGTATTTTACTCATTTGGTTGCAGGTTTACAAGAGTGGCCCTCTTTTCCTGTCATCAAAAGGTACTTTCGGAAAATAATTTAAATTTTCTCCACAGAGTTTTCTGCTTTCTTCTGTGCCATTTGCGTCGATACAATCTTCACCGTTGTATTTACCCTATTAGAATTGAAGTGCTAGCCTCACTCGCTATTCCTAATGGAAGTTATTCCTTCTTTCGTTTCTGACTGCTAGTATTAGGGAAGTAGAGCTCTCCAGTTGTAGGAAGTGGGTTGCTATGATGTTTTGTTTTAACTTTTCACGAAGGTTCATCAGCAAAAACTTTATTTTTTTGGCTTCTAATCATGCTATCAACAAAGGACTTTTTAAAGTTGTATTCTGAGGGGTCAAGCCTGTGTTGATGAAGATGTTGTCATTGGAATGACTATACTAAACCCAAAGCTAGTGTTTCTCTATAATGTGCAGTGTTAATAATATGCAGAGTTGAAGATTAACAAGGACAGAATTGATAACTGCATCGAAGAGTAATTTGGAAAAAGATAAAAGAAGAAAATATTTGGAAAATGAGTGGGAAGGACTAAGTAGTACAGATTCCAGTGAAGCAGTTTTACCCTGGATGAAGATCATTATCATTTTCAAATCCAAGTGAAAGGAGATATCTAATGTGACAATGAAGCTCCTTTTCCTATCTGTCAAGCCCAACTTAAGCTTTTTGGTCTTCTTTTGGATTGATCATGCTTTCTAGGATAGCATCTATTATATTAATATATATGAATGTGCCGAGTAACTGTGAAATTGTTTTTTGGATTGTATTATCAATCTTTTTCCAGGTTTGGTTTAGACTAGATGGGTGCTTTGGACATGACTAACTGAGTTGATACGTTTACTTGACTTAAAGCTTTGACCATGATCTTAATAATACTTTGAAAGTTTCCCATGTATCTTTACATTGATCTCCTAGTGCAATCATCATTTTCAATATCATAATTGTTATGACATTGACTTTGTTCTCTTTATTCTGGTGCTTGTCTTAAAAAGAACTTCTCTGAAAATTATCACGAAGGTCCTTTCTGATCTGGTTATTGTGCCTGCAGGAATTGGATGGACTTCATGGAAGAAGAGATGGTTTGTTCTAACACGCACTTCCTTGGTTTTTCACAGAAGTGACCCTGTGAGTCTATTCCTCTTTTTTTTTTTTTTTCCTTCATTCATTTATTTATATTATTATGTTGCTGTTGGTTTTTCCTATTGCTTCTTTAACGACCTTAGTCGTCTAATCTGATAAAACAATGGCCTGAATATTCATTTCTTATCATGAAACTTATAAAGCTGGCCTGCCTTTTGTTTGTAATCCATGATATTATGTTTTGAATATAATGATTTATCAACAGTCACATTCTGTCATTTCATTTGTAAAGTTGTGCCATTTAGAACCATCCCTACCATCCTGTGACATCTTAGAGTAATTTTCATTATTTCACTTTCATACATGCATCATTATCTTCGGAACGAATAGAACTTGGAACAAAAACTATTTAGGTTGCGATGTCTAGAATGACTACCTAGAAGGAAAAAAGAAGCAGTTTGCTCAATAAAAGGATGCATTTTCTGCACTTCTAACCTGCTGAAACTGGTAAACTTTGTTACACATGCTCTCAGCATGATTGTTCGGTGATATCCTACTTACAGACGAACAATAACTATGTTATGTGGTGTTGGTCTTTCCGACACATCATTAAAGCTCTTAGGTTGAGAATAACTTGTATTTTCTTCGTGTTTGAACCATTTTAACATTGATGAAATTTGAAGGTGACTGAAGGCTTCTTTCATGTTTTTCAGAATGCGGTTGCTCAGAAAGGGCAAGAAGTGAATTTAACACTTGGTGGTATTGATCTCAACAGTTCAGGCAGGTCAGCTTGTTATGTGCATATTTCATCCATTTTCATATGCTTACTGCTTTCTCTTCTCCATAGTCGTAAAATTTTCTTCTTACTGATGTTTATCTTGATGCTGCTCTAAACAAATGTTTAGCGTTGTTGTCAAAGAGGACAAGAAACTGCTGACTGTTTTATTTCCCGACGGTCGTGATGGACGAGATGGGCGAGCTTTCACCCTCAAGGTACCATATGTTCTTCTCTTTCAGTCATTGAAACACAATGGATTTTGTTGTTTGACCATTCAGTATATATTTGATAGTATGTCAAGCTGTCATGAAGCAACTTAGTCTACCTAGTTTTATTTAGTCATGCTAAGATTTTCTTTGTACCTCAGGCAGAAACTTCAGAGGATTTGTTTGAGTGGAAGGCTGCCCTTGAAGAAGCTTTGGCAAATGCACCAAGTGCTGCTCTTGCTATGGGTCAAAACGGTTTATTCAGGAACGAGCAGAATAATGCAACTGATGCATCTGCAGAACAGGGTAAGCCTCTTTCAATCAATGCCAACAGTTCCTTACCCTCTCTCTGCTGTACTCAACTTATGTTCTCAGACTTTTTCATCTACCACCCATTTCTCTTTATTTCACCTTTAAAAATTCTTTCTAAGAGGAGAGAATTAGATTAGTTTCTATTTTGTAATGAAGCAGCTGTTATTCGGAATAGGTTTGGTTCCTTATTCTTTCTACTCTTTTTCCTATTAATATTAATGCCTTTGCTCAAGATACAAATTCACACCAATGAATGTTATTCTGAAACTAGTTACGGCACAAAAGCAAAGAATTTTGTAAATTGATGTTGGGCTTACTTTTGATGCATGCGTATAAGGTGTTGAACTATTTTAGTGGCTGTTTGGTGATCTATCTCTTTCTGAAACAACTGAAGCATTTAGTTTTAATATTGCTGTCCACAGCTAAGGATAGACAACCAGTCAAATCTTTGGTCATTGGTCGGCCAATTTTACTTGCTTTGGAAGATATAGATGGGACTCCATCTTTCCTGGAGAAAGCCCTGAAGTTCGTGGAGGACCATGGTAACTTCTTTTTTCTTTTACATGCAAGGATTGTGCTAGATTATCTCCATCATCACTATGTTATTCATTTTACAGTATAATAACAACATGCATTTCATATTTATCAACAAATTAATATTAGATGGATTACATTGTGATTAGTGTTTGATAGAATATTCTCTTGTAGCTTCAGGATCCTAAAACCTGTTTTCACAGTGTAAAAGTGCAAGGTTACTTTTTTGGTTTATGACTTTGGTAGATTAGCTTTTGAAAAGTCCTCCAGATTTTGCTTTTTGAAACAGCCTTTTCAATAAAAGAAAAGCAGAAGAAACACCCTGGGAACATAGTATGTTCTTTTGTTTTTTTAGGTGCTGAAATGATACTTTTCAAGTGAGTTATTTTGGTGAGGTAATAGATGGCTTCTTTGATCTAAAGTTGGCATGACGGTTAACATTTCAATAACGGGGCTATTTAGGTGAAGTAACTAGGGCGAACCTGTCAAGTACATGTCAACTATATGTTGTCTTCTGCCTGGTCAAAGTTATTTTACAATAACAGCTTTGGTCGGTTGTGCCCCTTATAATGTTTTTAATTTGTGACAGAAATTCCTTCAGGATTTCGCTGATTGAAAATTTTTTAATTACTTTGGATACATTTTCTACCAATTGTAGCCTTATTTTCTACCAATTGTAGCCTTTTGTGCATCTGCCCTTACAAATCTGTAATTCCGATGCTCTGCTTTTGTTTCTCAGGCTGGATTGTTTTACAATTTTGTTGTTTAAAATTGAACATAATGATGGTTTCCTTTATTCCTAAGAAAATGGTTCTTGAGCTTCGTACCGGACAAGAACTTCCATGTAATGAAGCATATTTAGATTTTTTCTTTTTTTCTACTCCATCTACTTCCTAGGAAAATTAAGTAAGCTATATACTTCCTGGTTGGAAGAATAGGTGCATCTATGATGATAATTGAGCCTTCACCGTCCAATGTTATCTTTTTCCAGGAGTTAAAGTGGAAGGAATTTTGCGGCAAGCTGCAGATGTTGAAGATGTAGAACGCCGCATTCGTGAATATGAACAAGGTTTGAACACTGGACATTAGTTGTTTCTAACATTCGGTTTGCTGCGTGACTCTGTTAAAACCATATTTGTCGAACGAGACTTACCATGTTTACTGAGAGTTGAATAACTTAGTTTTTTGTTGTGTTTGATCAAATATAATTCTGTTTGCCTTATCTAATTTGGGATAACTAGGGATAGTTGTGAGATATGGACACAAAGTAACACCTCGTGCATTTTCTTTAACTTGTGTATTTACGTTTCCAGGTGCATTTTATATGTAATATGCCCCATGCAGCAATTTCTCCTTAGATTTCTTTTGTTGTCTTCTTATTTTGGGGGGTTTGGGGGAAGTTTTGGGGGTGGATGTTGGTTAGAATGGTTTTAATTCTTTCATTTTCTCCTTGACTTCAAAATGAATAGCATTGATTGGTCGAATGTGCTTACACTATCTCTCGGTTACACAATACATCAAAGTTAAACCAATTTAATCAGATCGCAAGTAAACTAATGTGTTTGTTTCTTTTAGGGAAATCTGAATTTTCCCCAGATGAAGATGCACATGTCATAGCTGACTGTGTCAAGGTAATTTCTTCAGTTGAAGAAAAGAAAAGCATATTGTTGTTGATTTCGTGATTATAGCTTCATCTTCTTGCTCATGTTCTTTTTTGAACCCAGTACATTCTTCGTGAATTGCCATCATCTCCTGTTCCTGCATCTTGCTGCAACGCGCTACTTGAAGCATATCGTAAGTAATTTTCTTAAAATGATTCTTCAGCTTTCTTTTCATCTTTCATGGTGGAATGTAATCAGTTTCCATCCAATGATGTAAATCATTGATGTTGGGAAAGGCTAATGTGTGAAGATGTACAAAGAATGTTGTCTCACTTTTATGAAACCATTAAATCCAAGTTACGAATTCAGTTTAACTGTGCTTGTTTCTTTGTATTTGTGGTATATCAATGTTTTGAACCATTGATTACATGATAAACTGTTCAACATCATTTTATTGTTTAGGTTCTGAACGTAGCTTGAGGGTAAATGCAATGCGTGTAGCCATCTGTGAGACATTTCCGGAGCCAAATCGGCGTTTGTTACAAAGGTAGCCTACAATGACTCAATTTTGGTTCATTTTCCTTTTAGCATAGGTTGCATTGAGTCAAATTTGTTTGTTGGGATCTCAGGTTTTGTCATCTGATTAAGTCATAAGGAATATTAAGTGCCTAAGAAGAGAAATAAAACTTGAGTTTTAAGATATGAATTATGGTTGTAAATTTTATTCATTTTACCTTGAAAGCAGAACCAAAGGATCCATTCCCTATTAAATTTCCAGTTGATGTTGATGATTATGCACTTACTACTGAGTCTATTTGGGTTTTGGAAAGAGGTTATCTAATTTCTTGGCTTTTCTGTTTCAGAATTCTTATTATGATGCAAAGCGTGGCTTCTCACAAGACTGTGAATCGAATGAGTGTTTCAGCTGTGGCAGCCTGCATGGCACCCTTGCTGCTTCGTCCTCTTTTGGCTGGTGATTGTGAACTTGGACGTGGCTTTGATATGGGAGGTGATAATTCTCTTCAACTTATGCAGGCTGCTGCAGCAGCAAATCATGCTCAAGCTATTTGTATCACTCTACTTGAGGAGTACAATAGCTTATTTGGGGTAAGGTTGACTTAATATAAACTGTTCATTTAGGCATATATCGTTCTCATCCTCACGTAAACTTTTCAACTGAAAAGTATATACAGTTTTCATCTTCTTGTGTGGTTTTCTCTTGTCATCGAGTTTTGTTTGACTGCTTGTGTTTTTTTAAACGAAATGATATTGAAAGTGAATTTTTACAATGCTGGTCTAGTAAAACACAAGGCAGAAGACTATTGGATACTGAAAGTAATTGCCGCCTTGTACGTGGCATGTTATTTTTTATTGGCATTCACTATGATTCAGTGTATCATATTTCAATTCATTTTATCCGTTATTGAGAAAGTTACTTTTGCTATCATTAAACTGGAAATGAAGCATTTCATTGCCTCCCAGTCTCACGGTCACACTCATGAGCTGTATCATAATAGTGCCCAACCCTTTTATTAAACTCTTGTACCCGGTGTCAAGTATAAATCTTTTCATTTGAGTTCCATAATCAAGTAAAGGAAATCAACATACAAGTTTGTAGATGTGGTGTGAAGTTGCAGAGATGGAAGCACTGACAACCTGTTCTGATAATTATCTTTATTGTTGATATGCCATCGCATGCATCAGTTTTTTCAGAAAATTTTTTTGCTATTGATTGCAGACGAGGATTCTTTCTACGTTGTCATAATTCATATGTGATTGATTATCAAATTCTGCCTTTTCTGTCCAACTGATCTTAAAGTTTGCCAGTTTGCAAATTTCGGGATTAACTCATCAAAATGATATCCTAGTACCATAGTTCTGAAATTTCTGTTTTCATTGGCAAAGTATGTTTTATCCCTAATTGCTGTTTTATTTCATAATATCTTACTGATTTTTTACTCCATTCCGTTTTGATTTGGATTGCACGTCTTTCTGCTGAAGTCTTTTTCTGATTTATTTTGTCTCTTAGCTTATGTATCAAGATTTTTAAGTTTGCTGGGATAGTGAAGGCCATATAGTTAATGCCCTTGAAGTTGATTATCAATTTTCTTTCCCTGTAAAACTAAACACAAGAAAATTTTCAGGAAGGTTCCGCTTCCCCTGAACCATACTCTGATACAGAAGAGAGTGGAAGTGAGACTGAAGAACTTACTGATGATGATGAGACATATGAAGATGATGAAGACGATTACACAACGGAGGGTTCTGATGCAGATATTAGTAAAGTGAGTTTCTTTATCCTTGAACATAGGCATCTATGTGGCTGCACTGTGAGATGATGCATTTCATGTGAGAGGAAGTCAATCACCAATATCATAACTAGAATGTACATCTTATAAATATAATTTGAGATAGAGTGGTCACACACGTGGGGTTTATCTGAATTATTTTGAATTTTCATTAATCTTTAAGCCAACTCCTCTTGATAGGTGGGTTTAAATAGGAAAAGGCTTACGCATGTGCCTTCCTTTGGAGAATGTCATGTGAAATTGAACCCTTTACTGAGCTGCTTTATGCTTAACCTTTTGTTTGCCTAGATTTAATGTGCTTCATAGAACTTGAAGTTGGCGGCATTCTCCATAGTTCTGTCTAACTCCTGAAATATGACTATGAGTGAATTTTTTTTTTTTATATTTCCCTTTCCATTGTCCTTGTCCTGGATTGGTGAAGTGGGCATGAGCTCTATGTTTCTTATCAGTTGGCTCTGATTTCTTATTATGTTTCCTTATCTGTTGCTTGTTCCCGAGATTGTTTCTGTAGACGTGTGACTTGTATCTCTTCCCAATTTGCTTTTTAGCTGTTGTTTTCTATTATTAGTATCTGAAGCTATGGTTCGAACTGCTGAACATGTTAGCATGACTGCTAAATCTGTTGAGCAAACCATCAGAGAGAGGAAAAACAATGTGAATGTGTTGTTGATGGTTTAGTGCATATTTTTAGGCAGAAAAGTTGAAAGGCTAACTGTAGTACTGATTATATGCTATGACTGGTGCACTAGTAAACAATTCTCCTTACTCTAGCTTTTTGTATTGAAAAGAAATAAAAAATAAAAATTCACCACTTTAATGCTTACTACAATTAACTGCAGGAATCTGAATGTTCCAACTCAGGTTCTGACTCTCCTGAAGTTGAAGACAACTATGAACCTAATAAAAGAACTTCACCACGACCTCCCAAAACTTCCAAAAGCCTGGAGATTTCTAACCCAAGTAAAGATGCGAATGAAGTGCATGCTCGTGGTTCTGGTAGTGGACTATTAGTACCTGATCCTGATGAAGCATCTATCATTGAAAAATCCTCTAAGATTTCCGCACCACTTCGAAGTGTTCGGCGGGCCACTGCATGGGGACGCACTCCTGTAAGTATACAGTTGTTCCATTTCATCATGACATGGCAGATGAATTCATTTTGTCCGCATCCCTGATGCAAAAATCTTATTATTTGACATCTCTGTTCTCACTTTTCTTTCTTCTAGCAATTATGACTAAACTGCTGCTTATTTATTTGGGCATAGGGAAGAAAGAACCTCTCAATGGAGTCTATTGATATTTCCTTTGAAGACGAGTAAGTGATATTATTATCTGTGATGTTTTTATCTGCATATAATCTTGAAAATAATTTTTAAGTTTGGGATGTTGATACACTCTCCAGTACACAAACTCAAGTATCTCCAGGATTAGTTATTATCTTGCCATGGTTGTATAAGAGGATCCGTAGTCATTTCTTTTTATTTCTTTTTATCTATCCATGAACAACTCCAACTAAAGTGAAACCATTTGTGTACTAATTGAATTCTTGTTGTAATTTCCTGTACTGGAAGTTAAGTATTGTGTGTTGTATATACTCAGAAGTTCATAGGAGATTAATGAATTGTTATGCTCAGCTTTAATTGTTTTCTTTTGGTGATCTTCTCCCCCTTTTTTTTTTTTCCTATTTTGAACCTTCATGACGCCAAGGACAATGTTAAAAGTTAAAACAGATTAAAACAGTATTAAATCTTGCAAAACTTTCGGAAGTTTTTTATTAAGTTTACGTTGTTTACCTCTATGGCTATAATTTTTCTGATGTATATTTGATACTGGCCATAACTTTCTGAATTGTACACTCTTTTCTTTTACTTTACATTTGTTTTTCTTCTTTATTTTTGAAAATGCTTGCTAGCTTCTGACTTCAACGGACACTTCACTTGTCCAACTCTTTTACCTTTTTTTGCTGGATGAAATTCATTTACAAGGCTACCAAACTTTCTTAAAATGCTAACAAGTGGAAACGTTTTTGATGTGAATTCTAATTAGGGCTGAAATTGAGAGACTTGAGGCTACCAAAACTGACTTGCAGAATAGGGTTGCAAATGAGGTACAATTTTTATGGTTGTAATTAAGTCATAATTTTCTATATATAAGGAGAGGAAATTAAGTCATACTTTCCATCACTTTTTTGAATTTTTTGGATATTTATTTTCTTTGCTAATTGGTGGTCTGTTATTATAGGCCAAATCAAATGCCATTTTGCAATCAAACCTGGAAGAAAGAAAGAATGCTCTGCGTGAGCGTCGCCTTGCTCTTGAAAGAGATGTATGTGGCAGTGCTTCATGTTGGTTTCAGTTGAAGATTAGAGTGTCAGTAACTCTTAAATAATATTGAAACTTCACTTTTTCCCAGGTAGCTAGGTTGCAGGAGCAGTTGCAGAAAGAGAGGGAGTTAAGGGCAGCTCTGGAAGCTGGACTTAGAACATCCCAAGGAGAATTGGTTGCCTCGTCAATCATTGATGACAAGGTAACAATACACAACAGCTTTGATTAATAGAAGTTTCAATTATGCACTAAAGAATCAAACTTCTACTCCAGATGAAGGCTGAGATTGAAGAAATTGCTCAGGCAGAGTTGGAAGTACTCAGTTTAAAACAGAAAGCTGATGATCTTGGTGTACAGTTAAATCATCAGCGTGAACAAAATTCTAGGTTGCAGATTGACATGAGCAACAATTTGCATCAAAGTCCAAATGACAACGCAAAATGGTAAAAATCTACATTTGCCTTATCTTTTTTTTTTTTTTTTTTTTTTCACATCTACATTTGCCATATATTCTAGTATTGTGTATTCTATTTGAATGGGAGGTGAAGCTTTGAGACTGAGTTTCTCAAACTGGCCTTTGTTCCTATTCTTCTTCTTTTTGGTTGGTTAAAACTTTTGTTTCTTTCTAGCTCCTTGGATTACTATTTTTGGGGGGGTTAAAATTTTACATTCTTTCACTTTGGTTCCAGGAAAGATAAACAGAAAAATGTTGATACTACATCTACTCAACATACTCGTGAGAAATCATCAAGGAATAAGGTAATGGAGTTTGTCAAAGAAATAGCTTGGTCTTTTATACGATATGCGAAACTCAACTTTATATGATGTGGTCTTTGATATGATATGCAAACTCAACTTTATATCTCATTGGAACAGAACATTTCCAACTTTCCAGAAGCTAAACCAATAATATAGATGAGTGTGCATTTTTACATGTAGATGGTTTAGAAAATGACCTTCAGTGATTAGCGCAGTATAAATGGAAGTTTTAATATGCACTCAGAAAAGTAACAGGATGACCATTACTGCTATTCATTAATATGATTGGGGGCAACACTCACCTGCAAGTTCATATGAGTTTTACTTGAAGTTATTTAGTTCTGTATGCAACCAAAACTTTCTATATGCTGCTTAGTGAAATCTCCTTTCAATCTTTCACTGAGAGGGTAGGCCGGTAGTGTTTATCAAGTTAGAGGTACACGAGTATTGTACCTTATAAAATTTTTATGACATAATGTCAAGGACAGCACATGTAGTGCCAAACAAGATATCTCTCTTGTTCGTATTTTTATTTTCTCCTTTTTTCGGACATAATTTTAGCAAGATTTATGTCATCGTCTAACATTGATCTTATCTGTGCTTTTATCCTTGTACAGTATGATAATCGTCTGGATAAACAGGCCAGTGATAAAGCTAAGAAACAAGGATCTTCTAGTTCCACTGATGACAATTTACAAAACCAGCAAACTCCATCCGGAGATCTAGGTGCAACCAAACCAGCTTCAAGCAGTTCCCGTAAGTCTAGCTCTAGACCTGAGGTAACCTTTAGCTTCTCTTAAGGCATTGTACCATGTCTGCTTGTTCTTGAAACTGTCACACCTGGTTTCATACATCTTGGCATCTCCTTCCTGCATGTTCTTATGACAGGGAACTAACTCTACCTCTTCTGCGCTGTCAAAACTTTCAAATCGACTCAACTTCTTAAAGGAACGGCGTACTCAAATTGCGAATGAGCTTCAAAATATGGACAAAAGCCAGAGCTCTGGCCCAGCTGCCCAAAATACAGAAAGAGGTAAAGGGTCAGAAACTCGCCAAGCATCTCACAAAATGGACAAGTCTCAAGGTTCGGAAGGTCAATCATCAGAAAACAACAATGGATCAGACGGTAACCAACAATCAGATAAAGGAAGAAAACCAGACCTGGACAGAGGAAAATCTGAAAGCTTTCCTCCTGCTGACAAAGGCCGGTCAATGGCCACTTCACGGACAAAGTCTAGATGATGAACAGTTTAAATTTTGCCTGGCGATTTCATGTTGAAACAAATGTGGATGTCAGGTGGGGCTTGATTCATATTCAAAGTTTCCAAAGTAGAGAAATCGATGAGAATCCTTAACAACTCTTGTTAGTACCAAGTTTCCCACGAGCAGCCGCAACTAGGTGTAGAGCCACTTCCCTATAACATAGTTATTGTACAGGTTGGCCATCTCGGAGATGGAAATCCAATTGTTTGAATTGCTGATTAGCCGGACTTTTACCTTAGGGGTTTAGTTTGCATTCTTTGCAAATCCAAAATCATTATGTTCCTTACTCTTAAGCTAGAGATGCTTGTTCAACATCCAAACGCCATCTTTCTTCTTTGGAATTAGTCAATTGACAAATAACGAATGATATATGCATAGAAATTTGTTTTTTTGTATCTTCCTGTCTTGAAGGATATGATATATGATTTGCAATGCAACATTTTATGGTGTGATAATGATCAATCATCAATCATGTAAAAAATTCAAAATTTTCGTCATTATAATGTCAAGATCCCTACAGATTACAGAATCAGTCAAAAAGCTTAATAATCCTTCAAAATTGTCCTAATTTGCTCTAGTGTCACAAACAAAACCACTGTAAATGGTCCCTGTCTGGAGATTGTGGGAATGAACCCTTTGTAAAGAGCCATCACTCCCTCCGATCTAATTGTCTTTAGTGCACAATCAACTGCACCGGAATAAGGTGGTTTCATCCCCGGCTCCACCCTCATGTTCATCACCCTAGTCTTGATCACATCAACCGGATTCGAAGCCACCGCCGCCACAAAACCGGCGGCAAAGCTCGCCGTCACATGGGTCCCAAGCCCATCAGCCATCACCCCGTTATCCAATATAGCTTCTTTGAACTGATCATATGATGCAAGCTGAGAAGCTGTGACAATCATAGCTCTGTTCACTGTGAGAGATGAACCTCGCCAGAGGCTACCAATGCCTTCTTCCCTGGACATTTTTGTGATCGCATCCATAACTCCCTTGTAATTCCTCCGCTGAGAAACCGGAAGCCTTCCATCAGCCTGCATTCGGACCATGGCCACGTCGGCCGGGTTCCCCACGGCGGCGCCAATACCTCCGGCAACCAAACCGGCGGCTATTTTCTGACTCAGGGGAAAATGCCCTGTTATGGGATCAGACCATTTCTGTTTGAAAACCTCGTACAATCCCAGCCTGGTGGTGGAATACAGTAGTTGCCTGAGTACGGTGGCGGAGACGCCGGAAAACAAGGCGGCGACACCTTCCGTTTGCATAATCTTTAACCCGACGCCAATGGGACCCGATTTAACCTGAGACAGGGGCTGGGCATTGTTAACTACGAACGTAATCAAATGGGAATGATGATACGGCAAACCGGCAGCCCGGAGATGTACAACTTGAGGGACCGGTTTGGAAAGACCTTGTTCACCTTGAAGCTGCATCCGAACCTTAATAAGGTCCAAAGGGTGCGTCGAACAGCCGGCAACCACACTAGCAATTCCACCCTCAACAAAACTTTTCAGACCCATTATAATTTCCCAACCAAATTCCTAAGAACACTGATAAATCTTTCAGATTAGATCTCAATATGAAATGGGCATTCAGTTCTTAGAATCACAGAAGCAAGCAAGACCGGATCTTTGAGAGATCTGTTTTTAATGTCAGAAGAAAAGAATGCTGTGAGAGAGTGAAAGATTTCAGATATTTATACGAACAGGAGGAGAAAGAACGACGGAGGAATGTTGGAACTGGGCTGAGGAAGGCGGCGTGGGGCAGAGCAGGGCCCAGGAAAGAGAAGACAGCGGCGGCTAGGGTAAAGTCTAAAAACACTGCAGGCCGCTGAAATCTTTTCGAACCCTGATTTGCCCCTGAAGCTTGCAATTTGGAATCTCGGAACCTTTCTATTTATATAGAGAGATATCTCATGGACTCAAAAATAAATTCATTCGCCAAGTTAACAAATAACCTATGTTACGGACTCGGATACGAGTATCGTATCGGGTGCAGGGATCTGAGTATCCGACTCGTTAATAATTTATAAATCTTGGACATTTTAAGTTAAAATGTTATTCCCGATACTCATACATATACCAGTGTCAACACGACACGACACATATATTCTCTGCAAATTGAAGAATCCGAGTAACATAGCAAATAACCCAGGTTGACAATTACCTCTCACCCCGTCCCAACATGATTTTTTGTTCTTATATATGTACTTTGTAAGTTAACAAAATTTTAGTTGAAATGGAACTCAACATTGATAAGATCAATGGTATCCTCAATCATCATTGAGCGTCACCAAAGGGTTGTACCTCTATCTGGTGGAGGAGGAGGAAGATCCTCCGGATGACATCGGATAAATTCCAAATTGATATTTAAATAATGTCAAATCATAGTATTTTGGAAAGTTAAGTACAATTATGAAAAAGGATGAGATATGGAGTCAAGGAACTTCTAACTTGAAAATTCTGCTGAAGCATGCTACGGAAGTTTTTCTTATTAATTCCTTAGGAATTTGTGGTTGACTAAGGGAGAATGTCGGTACGCAATGATTTTGGAGTTTAAAAAAACCAAAAAGATACTAATTTTGATTTGGATTTTCCAAACTAGGACTTGATTAAAAAAGATAATATTTCAAAGGTAATTCAGTTCTTGTTAGCTTACCGTATGCAAATTTTCAAACAATTATATAATCTTAGAATATATTGGATGAAAATCAGTGCTTAGTTCTGAATGTTTAATACTGAATTAGAAATATTATTTATCAAAAAAAAAAAAGAAATACTGAATTCATTAAGCAGTTACGAAATAAACAATAACTTAATTTTTATTGCTTACTAGTGCTTGTCCCGTGCGTTGCACGGGGCTGAAACTAATGTAAGATATATTATGCGAAAAAGGTTTTCCGAGTTAAAATATATGGTCAATGTGTTAACGTTTAACCAACAATTAACGATAGAAATTTTAGATCGCCAATTTTAAAATCAATAACAAATTACTTAAGGAAGATGAGTGCTTCTATAAATAAAAATCTTATCACGACGCAAAAGAATGTAAGATCAAAAGGAGAAAAAAAAGAAAAGGAACAGACTAAATTTTGAGTTTTGATTGCATCATAAATTTTGGCCGCTTTTTTCATAAAATTTGTTAATTTTCTATTTTAGTATAAACGAGGCTATATTTGTAGTAGGATTGAACAATTAATGTAAATTAGGATTTTAGATAGAAGACTGTTAACCTTACTCCCTTTCATGAAGGGATTGATTGCATTTTAAAATGATTTTACTCCTTTCATACAGTTATTTTATCCTTACATAACAAAATATATTATCCTTTTAATTTTAAAAGCATTAATTAACTTATTTATTAGAAAATAAGATATAATTACTGCTTTGAAGAAAATTTTTCTTACAATCTTCTACTATCACGACATGTGCTTTTTTAGGTTTCAAATTAAGTCACATCGCTATATGTGTCCAGATTTGATAATTGCAATGGTCGTATCATAATGTTTAAAGTAAAAAAGAAATGTAACATAAAATTGTTATTTGAATTAAATTATTAAATAAATTAACAATTGCGGGCAAATGAAATCAAATTAAATAACAAAATAATATTTTTTTTTCGGGGGTTAGAATTTTTGAAAATTACTTACAAAGGAATTTGTGTTCTATCAAAATATGGCCTACAAAGGGAGCACTGATATAAGAAAATGCTATTCAGTAAAAGTCAACTCTCATCATATGTGAACCAAAAAAAAGTTTGAGTCCCTTATTTTTTCCTAACCGCCACCTTCCAAAGTTAAAAGAAATTAAAAGAAAAAAATTCAAAAACATGTTTCTTCTCAGACCACCACCTCCATCAAAACCTAGCTAATTCTACCATCCCAATCACCATTTCGCAGTTAAACATCCTAATTTGAATTCAACGCCACAAAATAATTACTGTTCTAGATTTAATTTCTGGTCAGAGGAAATGGTTTCCAGCATAACAGTGTCATCTCCCTTTCTGCCGAGGGTGACGGCCCCTTTCTGAATTTTGTATGCCACTATCTCTTGGAATACTCTTGAACTTGTGGACAATTTGTCCAGTTCTTCTATGAGTGCTGAAGGATTTATGTTGGAACACAAAGGCATTCCGCCAATTTCACAAATTCCCAGCCACTACTCCAAATAAAATAGGCCACTCCTCCATGCACAATAATTTCTTATCAAATTATCTAAACAACCTAATTAAAATTTAAAAATCACTTATCAAATCCTTATGGATATTCAAACAAAAATTGTTTAAAATACCACAATCCTGACTAAGTTTGTGCACAAACTATCTGCAATGTTTTTTTTCTACTTTAAATTAATAAATTGAACCAAAATAATTTAAAAAAATTCAAAACTATCTGTAAGAATATATATTAAGTCCACATCTAATAAAAAAGACTTCTATAGATCATAACATGTTATATTAAATTTGTTTGTACGACGTCAATCATCCACAATTGTAATCTAATCACCAAAAATGCGCACTTTGAACATGTTTCCAAGTTTCTTTTACTACCTCAATATGACATTATGATGCTCACTACCCCTGAACAACACCACTGCCCCGCTATTGTGAACTTTTTCCCCCTTGGTATCATGATTCACCATCAACACCAAATAATTATTAATACATAATCTTCGGCTACCGATCTTCTCTTTGGTCGTGTCATCCGGTTGCTTCTCCCTTCTGCTTCTTCAGTTGCTGCAAGGACCAACAAAAAAAACCACAAAAAAAACCTCCAAAGGAATGCACGACTCTTCTTTATATGAAGATAAACCAATCTAGATTATCTCTATCGAGTTTTGAATTTTATAAAAAAAAAAAAACTCAATTTTAGAGGATATTTTAATAATATTCTGAATCCTTTTCTTGGAAGGTTGTTGCGTAACAGATTGTAGATATATTAGCAAATTTTAGAGTAAACAAATTATATCTGATAAGAGTAATATAATCAATATAGCTGCCAACAATTTTTTTTCATTTCGTTTAGATTTGACAACCTGTTTTAAAGAAACCATATCAATGAACTATTGACTATAGCCTAATAAAAGAGAAACGGATTTTGAACCCAAAAAAACTTACCACAACCGCCTCCCATTCATTGCTGTTGGAGCCTCCATCTCCGTCAACTGCAGCTAGCAGTTTCAAAGTTGTTCTGCTTCTTCATGATCACCATCGCTTTACAAGTTCTTCAATAAGACTTCAACATCGAAGGACACTAAAGAGGAACACAGTATGTAAACATGAGAGGGTGATGCTTGGCTTATTCTAATGAAAGTCAGTTAAAAAAACATTTGCTTTGATGCTATAAAAAGATTGAGGCGGTGGCTCTTCTTGTTAGATGCTCAAATGTCAGTCCAAAGCTCGTCTGCAAAAACCATAAGCTTCACTCTTCACCTGTGCTACCATACCAAAATCCATAAGAAGAAATAAAAAAGAAAGCATTAAAAAGACTAATGGCTGTCACAAATGATATATATATACACACATCGAGTAGTAAGAAAATAATGATATTATGGATTAGGCTACCAAATTAAAGATTAGGATATGATTTAGAATTTCAAATCAAAACTGATCTTATCTAATGGTTTTCTTAATGCATTCGGCATAAATGGTTTTTTTTTTTTAAACTCATCTTCTCGTTTTCTTATGCATTCGACATAAATGGTTTTTTTTTTTTTAGTTCCGCATAAATGTTTACTGCCTGTTTTAGTGATAAAAACAAACAAAAGAAATGGATCTCTGCATTTTCTTGTTTTTTTTTCAGGATACCAAATGAACAAGAGTCCACTTAATTTTGCAAACAATAAAAAACATTCCAGTTTAACCGCAATTTAACCGAAACAAAAAAAAAACACAAAAAATGCTGGCCAAATTGATGATTAATTTAGTGATCTGAAATTCACATATGAAGCAGAGGATCCCATAGCAAAATACAGGCGCCTAAAAATCACGTGTGTGGGTATTCATATTATTCAGACAATGCATTCACATTGATTTAATTTTTTAGGTTTCCTTTTAAAATTTTTTAGGAGAGAGAGGATGGAAGAAGGGTTTATTCTTTCAACAAGTTTTTATATATTTCTTTGGCAGTTCGAGGTAAAGTGACGATATAACTTGATGGTCATGAGAACTATAACGGTGATTGGATCAACTATACGTTAGGTATTGGAGAAATTTTGAAGACTCATTTTGGAGCTTTGAACTGAATGATTTCTAGGTCGTATGAATTTTGTAATTGTAGAAGATTCATGTTAGGTGTTGGTTCGCGAGCCTTAGACTTTTTTCTGGTTGAGGTTGTTTAGGAAAAGATTCTTTGTGACACATATCGGAGAATCTTTCTTCAATGTTTAGTTTAACTTCTAACATTTTTTTTTTTTAATTTAGTTTCAAGGGTTTTCCATCATTTTTTCCTTCTGCGCAATCACAAATAATCGTTATTTGAGATAGTGTTTCAAGTGTAGGGCGTGATTGATGAAAATCATCATCATCGTGTTTTTCATAGCTCATTTCAATCTTTTCTCACGGTCCGCTAGAGATCATTTTTTCTTTTTGTTCTTGTTTTAGGGTAATATACGTATTTGGGTCCTGTATTAAAAAGAAAACAATACATCAACATTACATAATTAACAGATAATCCATCAAATGCAAATTTATAATGTACCTCAATAGCTTACATTAACAAGATCGAAGCTTACAAACTTAACAAGTGAGATTGCACATTTATACACAACAAAGCAATCTAACAGGACCATCAAAGTAATAGAGTATATTGATTAGTTAACTACAGCAGGATTTTCAAAATTTAGCCAACAACTGATATTCCAAAATTACACACAAAACAATAACACATTTTGGCACAACACAAAATGCACAACATATACATCAGAAGTGACTAGAATTGACTAGAAAACCACATACTTTACAAATTGACTAGAAAACCTTAAAACTAAA